GTCATGCTATGGAAGGACTGCATAGTGTCTAGTGCCCAGATTAGGCGAGGAATGATAGGTAATGAGAGAAATTTAACTGATGAGGTTGTGAATTCTAATAGAAATAAATGCTTAAATAGTTGTTATGCATATAAGACTATGCCTTTCAGGTAGTGTGAAACCGTTAGGAGTAGGATGGTCAGATGAATACATTTCACAAGCTGATAAAGTTTCTGAATAATGGTATGAGCTATAAAGGGGCAATGTGAGTTAATTGGTTACAGCTTTTGAAATGTTATACATCACTGGCTGAAGACTGTCGATGAAATGGTTAACAGTCATTTCACAAGAGCTGTTCCTGGAATTAAAAATTTTCCATTTGTTAACTTGTCCCCTTTCACAATTATGTTTTCTCACGTTCAGTTTTGAAGTGCAGCAACCTAATTTGATGATCTTTCATGAAGGGTTCTTGTTCAATTCATCTGTTTGAATTTGCGACCTGCTTATTCTGACAGATGAGGAAAAAAGATTTTAGTGATAGATGTGTCTCAGCAAAATGCACTATTTTCCGTTGTGTCCCAACGAGTCATACGTCAATACAAGAAAATCTTTTAAGTACTGCAACTAAGATACAGTGAGATTCATTTAAATAAACAGATCACCCGAAAGACAGTATATTACCAAAAGATTTCCATGCTTATTTTCCCATTAGACATTCATAACAAGAACGAATTCAGATATGATGGAGAATATTTGTAGCTCAGGTGGATGATTTTGATGTAGTTGTGTTCTCTGAGCTGAAAAGTAGTTTATTTGCGAGGCTTTCACTGCCCTACTAGGAAACATCTTCAGCACATACTTCACTCTGAAGCAGGCTTTTAGATTTTTCACCGAGTTTATTAGTCAAATCTCCCTGCGACGTTGAATGTGATTGGTTGTTTTCGTGTATATTCACACAATCTAGGCTAACTGTTCTGGTATTGCTGTCCATTATTTCCTTGATCTGAAGTCTGACCCCTTGTGTGTAAGATTTCCTTCTTATCGATTGCTAAAAGAATTAAACTACAGCACTGAGGAGGCTTCCAAAACTAACTTCTTCGCCACCCTTGAATCATCACTCAAATCATCAAACTTGGACGAGGAAAAGCAAGATGAGATATGCCAAACAATCGTACCTATGGTCAAACAGAAGAAACAACACACACAATTCAAGCCCTCAAGAAGCTGAAAAATAGGAAGGATATCGTCATTCTACCAGCTGACAAAAATGGAACCACAGTAGTCATGGTCAAAGAAGAATACACCAAGGAAGCTGAAAAAACTGCTCAAAGATGAGGATTTATATCAACAACTCACGACAAATCCCATACAAACATTGGATAACCGCATCTAAAGAACGTTAAACAAGCTCAGCGAAACTGGTCAGGTCACAAAGCAAGATCAATGGCAAATTAAATTCAGTGGACCAGTCCTACTCTGATTGTACGACAGGCCAAAAATACACAAACCGAATATCCCGTTACGCCCAACTGTATCACTCCCAGGAACGCCAACATACAATTTGTCCAAAGAACTAAACAGAAAATTGAAACACTTTACGGATTCCTGCGATCACTCCATTAAATATGCTATCCAATTTCTACAGAAAATCAGAGGCATTCAAACAGATGACCGAGAAATAATGGAATCCTTCTACATCACAGCATTATATACCTCACTTGGACAAAAATTAGCAAAAGAGACCATGGAGCAGTTACTCAGCAACGACGAACACCTTCCACAACAATCAAAAATGCAACACACAAGTTGGATGGAATGCATAAACCTATGCTTAACAACGTACTTACAATTCAACTGCCAAATATATGAACAAGTTAAAGGAACACCCATGGGGTAGCCTATATTGGGTTTGATTGAAGAAGAAGTGATGCATAGGCTCGAAAGCATAATCTTACCAAAGATCAAACCCAAAATTTGGATACGTTATGTGGATGACACACTCGTAATAATCAAAAGAAAAGAGTTGGATAAAACTCACAACTTAATAAACAACGTCGTCAATGACATCAAATTCACAAGAGAAGAGGAATACGAGAACAAAATCCCACTTTTGGACGTCTTAGTCAAGTGAACAACCACAGGGGAATTATAAACTCAAGTTTATAGAAAATTAACTCACACAGACCAAATACTGAATTACAACAGTAACAAACCAATAACACGCAAAAGGAGTTGTATACAATCACTGTTCAAGAGGGTTAGAACTCATTGCAGCACTCCCACGTTAAAGAAAATTGAAGAAAGATATCTCATGGACGTCCTCCAAAAGAATGGATATCCACAGAATTTCATCAAAAGACATCTACCCCCCAAGCCAACTTACTATATAAAAGGTCCCCAAGTAAAGCACAAAGGAAACCGCACTGCCATATAAAAAGGACATCTCAGAAACCACTGTAAGACTCTTCAAACCTTTAGGAATTGACATCGCACACAAACCAACAAAATCACTTCACTCAGCTGTTTCTGTGTCAACCAAAAGACTCAACAACTACAAAACACTACATTGAGCAAAGTGGACGTCCCATTAGTCTTCGTATCCATGAACATACACCAGCTGTCAAAAGACATGACTTCCACTCCCTCATATCGCTACATACAGACAACCGCGGGCATCAGTTCGACTGGGACAATGTTCAAATATTAGACAATGGAAACATCAAGAATGCTAGAGAATTTTAGAAGCCAGCCTGGTATTCCAGTGAGTAGTTCGTTAATAGACACATTGACACAGACAGAATTGACCAATCGATAAGAAGAAAATCTCACACACAAAGGGTCAAGGAAACAGTCAGTACCAATGTAGATATTTTTTATATATATATTTTTTGATTACAGCTTGATGCCACACCGTATTTTCAGTACAAGTATGGAATTTTCAGCATGGATATCGGTAGCCCAAATTTCGCAGGCCGACCATAGATATCGGGTGTGCGTGGGCAGGGGATCGAACCCCGGACCATGTGCAGGGTCGGCGAGAGTTCTAACCACTGTGCCACAGACAAAAGCAACCAGCCACTTTCAAGGTCACCAGGAGAGATGACTAATAAACTCGTGGAGAAATCTAAAAGCTCACTTCAGACTGAAGTATGCACTGAAGATGTTGCCTAGTAGGGCGGTGAAAGCTTTGCAAATAAACCACTTTTCAGCTCAGAGAACACAACCATATCAAAAAAGAAAGATTTCAGTTAGTCGGTTAGTTTATAGGGATTTGATTTGTTCTAAGTTTGATCAAGGATCGGTATCAGTTTGGAAAGCACCAAAAGCCTGGGAGTACTGGACATCCGTTCTCCCCTAACTCTTCGGTTGTACGCATCCATGATCCCAAGAGAGACAGAACCCAAAACCTTCAGGTTACGATTTAAACTCGTTGATCGTTCAGCCACTAAGACTGCAACTCTACTAAAAATCTTGAATTGACAGAATATGTGGGCCAGTGAATTCGGTCCCAGTGGCTGAATGGTCAACGAGCTCGCCTTCTAACCTGGAATTCTTGGGTTAAATCAGGTTAGAAGGTGAGCCTGGTGACTATTCAGCAACTGGGAAGGAATCCAGAGACCCATCAATTCATATAGCACCGCACCGAGGCAATGCCACTGGAGAGTATTTGTTCTCACACCTCATTTGGTGGACCTCACTGGTCCAGGCAACTCTATGCTGTAGTCAATCACTAGTTAGCACTAGATTAATTTTCAAGTGTTGTTCTGCAGTGATCTGTTAGACTTCAAGGACAAAATAACCACCCAGTACTCCATGCTCTTCAATGATTCCTTAACCGATATGAATCCATAGTGAAACAAGAAGACAATCAAATCCATACAAACTAACACTTGAATTATTATCGTATGTCGCTAAAAATACCTCGGTATTACAGTTAGCCCTATGAAAGAATAATTTATCAAAGGTGATCATATAAGCATCTCTTAGTTTTAAAACAACATCTATTACAATTTTCAATGTACAATATTTTCTAACAACCATCTTTTGATGACAGCCAAATAAAATGTGGTTATTTGAAGTTCCCTTTATTCAGCGTATCCCATTGGTGTGTTCACCATCTTTTTAATCACCCTATTATAAATCATCTTCAGTGTGTTACTACTTGATAATTATCCCTTCAAAAAGCGCTGAAGATGATGTATAGGAATGTTTCTAAGCAAATTTGCAATTTTTTCTATCTCCCTCACAATAAGGATATTAACAACAGTCCCGTTTTTCTCTTGATACTTTGACAAAATTCTTGTTATCCGAAGAAAGGAGTAGAGAGGCAACTACACTTCTATCCGTAAGACTTTATTAACCACCTACTGACCTGCCAAATTATTTTATTCCTTTACGTTCCAAGTGGAACATATGGCTTAAAGCTTCAGCTGTGAATTCCCAGTAGCAGTGGTGTATTTTATGGAGTGAGGTTGCTAGTAGCTCGCCCAACCGTCTCTCTTTATCGGAGTTACTGCCAGCTAAGCAGGCGAGCGACATTTTAGAGTACATCGGTCAAGGATTGAACCCAAGACTACGAACATGGTTGGCGGATATTCTACCGTTGAAATACCGATGCATATGTTAACCCTGGCTGGCAATTATGTTTTTCAAATAATTTAGATCTGGGGTTTTAGATTACAGTATTTGTAGAGTAAACGATATTTGGTTAATACATTATAAGGAAACGGTTTATAATATATATATGCAATGATGGACAGTTTTTCTGTATTCTGATATCAATAATAGTGATTGTTTGTGTGTCTGTGTGTAGGTGCTTAGCCATTACTCGCTTACACTATAAACTACTGTGACCGAAAGGTCTACCGGTATCAGTCTGCTCTAACCTTATCGATCAAATCACCAGTCAGATGCGTCATACTAACACAATAATTCCAAAGGTCATATCAATTGTCAGTAGTATGGTTTCAAACGGGTAACAAATTTATTTATTTCTTTTTAACAATTTTATACTAACTCACTTGAAATTTTCTCCTGTATGGTAGTGTAACCGAACAGGCTCCATTGCCCAAGTAGTCGGACATTTGGCCTTGATTTCGTTTCATAGCTTCAAGAGCTTCTATCGTTCTTAGACGAAAACCTGCATATGCACTGTTGTCTTTATCATCGACAGTATTTTCATTTTTGTCATTGTCTTTACACATATTTAAACAATTCATCATTTGATAACCAGATAGTGACTTTTCTTGAATACTTTCACCGTCTGGCCGTACACGATGAGCTGCAGTGCTTGGAGGATCTAAGTAAATAAAACAGATAAAACGAATAGTATAAACCACGAATTGCTAGAAGTTGGGGCAAAGTTAAACTTTAAGCAACACTAACTACCAATCAGCAAATGGCCTCGAACGCACCAGTCACGTGAAGGGGGCATTTTCGCGTATGGAATACATATATTTATGGAAAAAAATGTAGAAAAACTGTAGAAAAGTGTTACAGACGATACCTTCCTCCCACGTGTGATAAAAATATCTCTCAGTATTAGGTTGGAGTATGAAAAGAGGATGATTCCATTGTGGGTAGAATTTATTTTGATAAAGTCTCACAGTGTTATGCAGCAATATTTACCGGGCAATAAATTGTGCTCGAAACGTGGTTATCAGTAAACATTACTGTATAACACTGTGAGACTTTATCAAAATAAATTTTACCCACAATGGAATTATACTCTGCCACAATGCACAAGTAGTATTCTTATATAAACGGAGTAATTCAACCACCTTCTATGCATGAAATTATTTAGGTCTTCTAACACTCATAATAACCCTAATCTTTCCTAAACCTAACCCTAACGTGAAAATATCCCTAAACTAACTGTGATCTAACTCGAACCAACCCTAATGTCGCCTTTATTAGGTTAACCTAACCCTAACTCGTCCTAGGCTTAAATTGTAACTTAATCTTTCCCAAACCTAAGTTCAAACTTGCCAGATATCCCATTTTTATCGCATAACACTTCGATGAACATATTTTATTGATGATGACAACAATATTTGCCAGGTTTCACTAACTTGCTTAGTGAGTGTTTCAAGGTCATTGTGGCGGTCGCACTCCATTGGTAGTTAGTGGTGCTTAAAGTTTAACTTGGCCGAAGTTAGAATTCATGAGCAGTTTAATGGGGTACCAATGGATGAATGGTATACAAGCCTGCCTTGTAGCCAGAAGGTCCTAGGTTCGAACCCCAGTGGGTGCGTACTAATGATGAGTCCCGATCTAGGCTGACGAAACAGCTGTCCACTACCCAAGTCCTGGTTTTCAGTTTTTCTCTAACTAGTAGCAATCCATGGTCAAAACTGAAAAACAAATGAAATCCTTACAAATCAAATCTTGAGAATGACTTAAGGTTGTAATGGAATAATGCGTATAATCTTCATGACAGGCTTGTATGGTTTTAGCAGTGGATTACGCAACATTTTAAAAGATGTTAGACAATTCAAGTCAATGTGAAAAACAAATAGTGACATTTTCAAAATTCCATCAGAAAACCGAAATAACATCTTGTTCCCTTATTCCAAGAACTTAACAAGATTTTCACTCTCAAAATTTAAAAGTTGGTTTGCAATTTGTCACCTTTATATTTCTGGTTTAAATTTCACAGTAGTTTCCTTTAGTAGACTTTACTGGTTGATGTGGGTGGTATTCAACTACTGAAGTCAACCCGTCAGTACTATAAAGCATTATGTATCTCCACTTGTTTTCTTGATTACCACTTATGGTACCAGGCAGATCTCATAGTGTGATCTGAATAATTCTTTTCTTCAAAGGAACCTGTAGTGAAATTTCGCCCCGAACTGTTTGAATTGCAAATCTCGAATTAATCTGCAGTATTACGAATCAGATTTAGTACATTAACAATTCACTCAAGTAGCTGGCCAGGATGCGGATGGTTTCAATTGACTGAATTCTCCAAACTGAGTCAAGTCATGCGCACTACTGATAAGCTCAATGGTAAACCGACAAAACGGAAGTCCGATGTTAAGATCACTTCAATATGGCTAGCCAGCACTAATGGTTGGTGTGAATGGTATCGAACTACTCATACCAATATACCAGTAGTATATAGCGTCATGCACTGACAGGATTTTATCCACTTCAAACATTTTCGATATCAGTTTGGCCACACAATTCAATTTTGTTGTTGAGTTGGTTATTCTGGCAATTTATTTGAACCGTCATCCTAACATAATTGATGATAACATCTATTATTATTATTTTTATTATTATAAACCACTGTTGGTTATGCATTATTTCGTGGCTATAATACCTGTTCCTTAGGATAAAACAAAGGTTGCTTGTTTATCTCAGAAGGAGTAGAAAAAATTGTTATTATTCCATGCCAGCTCCCGTGAGATTCATATTAATCAGATAAAATTCATGTTAGATGATTGGAAGAAGACCGCAGGAATCCATAGGTTTAGTTTTCGTGCTTACTGATACATAAATGTTCTCTGGAATGCCCATAGCTTCGGCTATTTATAAAAGGTGGGTTCCAATTCCTTTCGAAAGGCTCTATAGAAGGCAACAGATAACTTCTTCTGTCCACAGGAGAAGTGCCTTCAAAGTTATCTAACGCATTCTATTAAGCCTTTCGAACGAAATTCTAACCTGCCTTTTACACATATCCAAAGCTATGGGAACTCGAAAGAACAATCCTAGTCTTTGCATACAAAGAAGTTTGTTGTTACTGATATATGTCAATAAGAGGTATCCGCGGCTTTGAAGGAACTGATTTGTTTTCAGAGAGTAAGACCTAGTGGAGAAATCGAAGTGATCTAGCCATCTGAGAGTCGTCTCACCTTTTTAAGGTCAAGTTCAGCACTGTGCTCCGTTAAATTTAGTTATTAAAGTCAAATTAGTTCAGACCACACAAATTCCGACCACGAAAGCGAACAGTGTGTGTTCCTTTAATTGAGTAATTGATTGAATAGTTCATATATGGTTCAAATTATCTCATAACAAACAGAAAGATTTTCACTTTATTAGCACATCATTCCTTAAAATCTTGTTAAGTTTCATGAGTTTACGGGATTGGGATGATTGAAAAGGGTAATGTTAAACACCGTACCCAATCTTGCCTTTATTTCTTTAAAAATGGACTTTATCAAGGCGACATGAATATATTCAGATTTTAAAAGTTCTAGTAGAAGAAAGATCTTCCTTTTTACGACTCTTATGTAGCTTTAGAAGGACATTTTAATTTTATTCTGATTGTAAGAAACATGATAATTGTGGCGATTAAGTCGACTTTAATACACATCCCGCCAATTCTATGTCTCCATACCTTTCTTTTTCGTCATAGCTACCTAAATACAGTAAATTTTCAAGATTTTATGACCTCGTTTAGAAAACTGGTACTGGTCCGGATCTTTAGTGAACTCAAATGCTTTTGAGTTAGTTGTCTCAAGTACCTTGTTATCAATAGTTTTTCAGATATCGGTGTCCTCAGATACTTTGATTAACCTGTGTTTTCCTCTGTCTATTTTCGCAGATATGATTGTGATTGGAATGAATATTGACTGATAGGAGGAAAGGTGCTTACAGATAATCTCTGTTATTAAGTATACAACAGCATAAACTAATACTACTGAAAGCAGACAGTTAATTCGATCTAAATAAACCTAATGAGATTAAAGTAGTGACTGAGACTACAACCTCCACTTTAATACAAAGTAGGTTATTAGAATTAAAAAAATATACCTTGTTTCGTTCCTAAGAACATAGAACTTCCCATATATCCATCTCGACCAAGTTGTCGCCATTTTTCAGCATCAGAACCACGAACAGCTGCAGAACGTGGCCGGATGACAGAAGAATCAATATTATCTAGTGCTTGTGCGGTCTGATTACTTGCCTGTTTGCCTAAACACAATGCCATAGAAGTTCCTGTTTTTGACCAAATTGCATTATTTTGAGCTTCTTCAGTTGGACATCCATATGGAATTGTGTTTTGCATTTCAGCCGGAGACATTTTCATAGTTAGTAAATCATCTAAGCCCTGTTTTAAACAACAACAACAGCAAAAACAGCAGCAAAGTTAACGTCTGAAAGTGAATTACTGAATGAAATGTGGTTTATTAGTTTAAATATGTCATTTTCAACCAATGGTCTTGAGTTCGAACCCCACTTTACTTCCTTCAGCTTTGGCAAAATGATAGTAATAGAAACACTTATAGAGAGTGTGGCTTATAGCCTAGTGCATGTAAAATCTGGTCCTGCTGCCTGAATCCAAACGAAATAACAACAGTGTCTTTCTTTTGATATTATTTATGACAAAATTATTTTCAAATCATGTTCACTAATTGGTCATTGAAGTGTGATGTATGTTGGCTGGTCGTTGCTTTAAAATCACGACTTGGTAGAAGTTGGAATTCATGGGCCATTGGATAGCATGCCAGTGGCTGAATGATCTGTCAGCTTGCTTTGCAACCTGCTCCTGAGTTCAAGCCCTGATGGGTACGTACTGATGAGGAGTCCCAAGCTAGGAAGAAAAAACTGTCCAGCACTTCCCGGTTTTCCAGTGGTTCTCTAACTGATGTCAGCTGGCGATCGGACTTCAAATTAATTTCACGCTGTTTAGTTTTAAAAGTTCGTTGAATTTTGTAAAGAGAATTTTTCGTAATTTTTATACTGACATAATGGATTATGCTTGAAGTTACAACGAAAGTCTGGCTGAAAGTATGATCCACACCACCCGCCTCTGTATTACCACTCTGGTGATCTACCAGCTCAGCTATAAGATACAGCTGAGGTGAAACGATTTGGTTAACGCTTCTGTCTGGTAACTCCCCTAATAGACCGTAGTAACCATAATGAGAGAGGCAGTGATTCTAATCCTGTTACATGGGTTTTCATTTTACCCTCAATCCTCTTCCGTTATAACAGTAATAGTCTTATAACTCAAAACTATCTCCGAGAACCTCACTATCAGCTGTTATAAGACTTATTGGTAATAGATAGTTGGGAGAAGTTAAAGTTTCACAGCCATGTTCACAATGACCTTGAACAGCCAATCAGAATTTAGACATAAGAAAAGTCTTATAATCATTTAAAAAAAACGTATTAAGAACATCGCAAATATAATATTACACTGGATAAGTGTTGTGTGTTGTAAGAATATCTCCCACTTACTCGAAGGATAATCCATAGAGAAATCATAGCATTCGTGATAGATGTACTTGTCTACGAGACTATTTATCATGTTACTCTGGGATCCATTGATATTCCACTGATCTTAACTCACTTAATTGCTGTCAGATCGCTTCCAGACGCTGATTTCTATATTATTACGTGATCTTTTCTTCCCTGTATGTTTCTAGTCAGTTAGTGTCTCTATTATCTAATCATTCAGCAAACTTCTTCAATATTCTTATCAATATATAGCTACTTTCTTTTCGTGTTATATGTAATTGATTATACGATCACATTTCAATCATTTTTGTTTCCTTAAACTACGATCCTAATGCCAAAGTACAATAAAAAGAAATGTATCTTCTTATTTCATTAAAACTACTTATTTTTGGAATGTCTGCATTTGAAGAGAAGCTTCAAAGTAAAATATGCATCTCTTTATATTTCCGATTTCGTCCTCCTTCTTGGTGTGACGAATATTGGGAATAGAGAGATTTCTAATCTTTAAATATTCCCATTATTAACATTAGAAGAAGACATATAAGCGAACAATATTGTTTTCAATGAGATCTTCAGGCTTTATTCTAATTTACATAGATTTATATATAACAATTTTACCCAATGACGGTGATTTCATGGAACAAATAATGATAATGTGGAAAATGTTTTGAACGTCATTAATTACGATGATTATAATGATAACAAAATATTGATAATAAGGTTTATGCAGGTGGCGATAAGAATAACAAAGATAGTAAAATGTGTTTATGTAGACAATTCAATAAACAAATAAATTAGGTCAAATCTTAAAAGTTACGTAATACCAAAGGTGAAGTGGACAGATAATCAGAGTTTAAATAAATTTCATAAAAGTACGAAAGAGAGATTTTCAAGAGTTGATTTGTGAGTATTAGATTTGTTTTTGTAGTATGACCACAGACTGATATCAGCCAGGGAACAATTGAAAACCAGCACTGGAGTACTGAACAGCTGTTTCATCGCAGTTTGATAATCATCGGCAGTACACAACCACTGGGGTTCAAACCCAGGACCTGTCGGTCACAAGGCGAGCTCGTATAACATTCAGCCACCGAAACCTGATTAAATAATCAATGAAATCTAACTTCTTCCAATTCGTGATTTTAGCGCCACCGCCGGTCCTACTGAGAAGTTGTAACCAGCGAGATCCATCCAGTCAGGAGTGAGAATGGATTTCTCGTCAGTGCCATTGATTGTTGGTGGCGCTAAAATCACGAATTGGTAGAAGTTAGATTTCATGGATTATTTAATCGGGTCTCGAGCTTGCCTTGTGACCGACAGGTCCGGGGTTTGGACCGCAGTGGTTGTGTCCTGCTGATGGTTCTCAAACTAGGATGGAACAGCTGTTCAGTACTTCAGTGCTGGCTTTCAATGGTTCTCTAACTGATATCAGTCTGAGGTCAAAATCGAAAAATAGAGATATTATCTAGTTATTTTATTTTATCACTCACTCTTTCCAAAGTACCACATCTAGAGAATTTTTTTTTGATTTACAGCTTGATTCTACACCGTATTTTCAGTACAAGTATGACATTTTCAGCATGGATATCGGTAGCCCAAATTCAGGCCGACCATAGATATCGGGTGTGCGCCGGCAGAGGATCGAACCCCGGACCATGTGCATGGTCGGCGAGAGTCCTAACCACTGTGCCACCGACGCACAGAATGTGTTTAGATGAATTTTGAAGAAAAGTATATCAGATTCAAAGCCTCTAAGTGTTTGCCACATTTTCTCCAAACTGACAAGAATCTTCTTAATAATCAAAATATCTTCCAGTATTCTGATGTGAACTGGTAAATCCTGTACTAAAACAATCAGTATATATAGAAACTATTATGGATAAAATGTATTTTGATAAAGTCTCACAGTCTTCTAAACAGTTTTATTACTGTATAACAATGCGAGACTTCATCAAAATAAATTTTATCCATAACTCAATTGTTTTCTGCCACAGTGCCCAAGTCATATCCTTCTTTACAGAATCTATTTTGATCACATTTTATATCTAAATCAATCGAAAATCAAATCTTTGAAATAATCAGTTTATTCCAGCTATTGATCATTTGACTTACTCGATTTTTTAATGAATATTCTATGCCTTCACGGTGTACTCTCAAACGTGTCGGTAAACTTGTTGTATTCTCATCCAACTTCTCGCTTGGCTTTGGTTGTGGATGTGCAAACCAATTATTCACTTCATTACGTCGACTATAACTGGATGATATTGATGATTTTCTACGATCAGGATTTATTCCAGTATTTGCTCCATCAAATGATTTATGCTTGAACCAATCACATTCTTGTGTCATATTCTCTAAAATTGCCTGATAAAAAGAGTTTGATATGATGTATTAATTGTTCATTCAATGTACAAGTGATATTTGTTATTTGTGAAAAACTGTAGTAACCCAGACAGTTATTCCGAATTCGTAGATGTTGGACAATTTTAACAGCATAAAACTAACACAGTTGTCTGCTGTTGAGTATAAAGGGTTGGGACACAATTACAAGAATCGCATTTCCACACCTGTTTAACAATCTGACACTAACTGTCTATCGACTATTCAGTACTGCGCACTTGTGAACCACCTTGGATCAAACCTCCAGCCTCCATATTACAACACAAGCCCGTTGACGATGTAGACATCAAGTTGGTTCAACCTGATTTAAATAATGTTTTACAAAAAATAGTTAGGATCTTGAGCTGCACAAACTCAAAGATCTGCAGGAGAAAACCCGCAAGTTGTCAGAGGAGGTAACCAAGACAGGACTTCAGGTGAACATTTAAAAAAAGCAAAGGTAATGATGGTATCTAACCAACAGTAGCACCGAGCATCAATCATCATCGACAGGAGAAGTCTAAATGAAGTCGCGTCTCACGCTTACCTAGGTAACATCGTTTTAGCAACACTGATAAGGACACTAAAGCCAGCTAGGGTCGGGAAACCAAGACAGGGGTTCAACACTCTGAAATCAGTATGGAGATCAACATGACGAACAAGATTCGAATTTTCAGTGCTAATATCAAGACAGTCAATGCTTCCACATGTTTCACAGACTTAGTGTCCGCATCAGTGGAAGTGTTTCGAATAGGTTACTGCAGACATATACCAACAGCTGCCTAGTTCGCCTCGACAGTGAACATTAAATGGTCGGCCAGAAAGTATAAGCAACAAGGAATTCCTGCGGACAACGAAGCAACCAAGAACCTGTCACCTAAAAAATATACAGAAGGAAATGGAGTTGAGTTGGATTTACTCCATGAAGTTTTTGGGCAGTTTTGGAGCCAGCTAATAAAAGACGACAGTAAACAGAGTACAATCCGTATGTCCTACTTATATCCCAAGGGACGAATAATAATAACAAGGTGATTCGAACTGGGATAAGAGTCTATGTTACTCATCGTTTTAATTGAAGGTGTATCAAATATCTTTAAATACTTTCATTTTTTTAATATTAGAACAAGACATATAAGCTAACAGTATTGTTTTCATTTAGATCTTCTTCAGGCTTTACTCTAATTTACATAGATTTAAATATAAAAAATTTTAACCAATGACGGTGGTTTTGTGGATTAAATATTAATCATAATAATAGTAATAATAATAATAATGTGGTAAATGTTTTGAACGTAATTAATAAAGATGATTATAGTGATGACAAAATATTGATAATAAGGTTTATGCAGGTGGCGATAAGAATAACAAAGGTATTATATGTATATATGTAGACAATTCAATAAATAAATAAATCTTAAAAGGTGAAGTGAACAGATAATCAGAGTTTAAATAAATATCATAAAAGTATGAAGGAAATGGAAAATAAGAAAGGGTGGGAGGGTTTTGAATAGAATTCACCTAGGCCAAGGGAGAGACAAAGGTAGAACAAACTTCTTTTGTATGCAAAGACTAGCATTGTTCTCTCGAATTCCCATAGCTTCGGCTAAGTGTAAAAGACGGGTTCTGATTCCGTTCGAAAGGCTCGATGGAATGCGATCGATAACTTTGAAAGCACTATTTTTGTCCACTTGGTGACCACTATCAATCAAATGAGCCAAAATAGAACTTCGTATGGATTTTATTTGACCTTTTCCAAACCATGAAGGAAGATGCTCATTAATGCGTTTGTTAAGCTGTCTAGTTGTTCGCCCTATGTAGCTCTCTCCACAGGAGCAACTAAATTTATAGATACACATAGAAGTGGTACAGCTAGGTAGCTTATCTTTCACTTGAGCAATCATAATTGGTCGGCTGGAAAATGACAAACAAAGGGTGGCGGCAGTATAAGTCCGTTTTATCGCTCTCGATAATCTCAGATGTCAGACTTCGCTAGCCATGTTCCCATTAAATTGCAGTTTCATGAGCAGTTGTTTCTTTTAAACCGTCGTCAGTTTCTCTTTATTGTACCTGGTATTCATGTGTCTCCTTACAAATCTACTAGGAGAACCCATTTGGACCAACGTATTTTGGATGTATCCTAGCTCATTTTCTAGGGAGTCATCTGTGCAGATACGTCTTGCTCTATTCGTGAGGCATCTGACCGAATTGATTTTGTATCGGATTGGTACAAAACTGAGGAAATGTGTATATTGTCCTACAGATTTTAAAAATTTTTACAGATAAATCTATGTAAATTAGAGTAAAGCTTGAAGAAGATCTAACTGAAAACAATACTGTTCGCTTATATGTCTTATTCTTGTGTCAAATATCAACAAGTATTCAAAATATAAATCACTAACACAACCTGGACTCTGATAAGTAAAGTTGTTCGTCTCTATCACATAGACGAAACTGCCCCAGATCAATCGTTTTAAAATAAATCTGCCTGTTGAATAAAGGATAGTGAATTGGATTCTCCCTTGGATTATCTGAGTTATTCACGCAGCATTCATAACCTGAGAGTATATTACTGGGTCACCAAGTTAGTTATGGTTTCATAATGTCACGTTATGGTCTAGGCATTTGTAGGTGACACTCCCCTTAACAGTATTTGTTCCTGGAATGCTTGAAGGAACATTATCTCCACAGTGTCACCCTAGGATACCCTACCTGTTGCTTCCCATTTGCGTTTCACTCGAAGGCTGGCTTAGCATGTGATGTCACTCAGTAGTTTCCTCAGATTATGTCGAATCCATCCCCACTTAATTCTGCATGTTTGTTGGCCAACGGGAACCTTGGCCAACTTATCCTTTCTGGTTATCTAATTTACAGTATCGAATGAAGGCATCTATTGAAAAGACTCTGTAGCCTGCTGGAAATGCCTATGCAGATGCGCACGCCAAGTGTCTGAACCCTATGGAAGCACTAACTTAACATCAGTGTTGGAAATTTGGATCTTTTTCATTGTGATGAGTGCTATTAATCTTCACTCTGATTTAAGAGCAATGAACCCATGTTTTGCATCTCTCATCTGATCCTGGCTTTCATGTCCTCATTCTTGCTGCTAACACGATACTACACGATAGACACACACGAAAAGATATTTACAATGATTACGTCCGATGATTGACTCAAAGAAGCTGACTTTTGTCCATCTGAAAACCGAATTTCATTCGATTTTCAACCAACATTTCTTTATGTCAAGTCAACCCATCAAATGAGGAGTATTTCAACTATTTCAGTCTAAAGGAAGTAAAACTTTAAAAAAGTTTATATACTGCTTCAGACCTTTTACATTTTTATTGTCACACAGATGGTAGTATAATTACTGTCTGGAATAAAACGATTATTACTAGTATCAGTATTATTATTTTTTTATTTTTAGAAATTTGCCTCTAAAAGCAGGAAAATTAACTAAATAAGCTAAATCATATACACTATCATCAAAAAAGTTTGAATAAATATTTCAAAAGGCTAAATTCCAAAAAACAATCGAATAAAAGCTCTAAAGCTGTGTTACATCTTTGTTCATGCATCTTAGCAAGCCATTATTCCAATTATATGGAAAAGTTTGCTATCATCAGTAGTTCAGGTTTCGTCGTTGTAAGATGAGAAGTAGCTTAATTACTGAATGATTTGGATAATGTGGTTGCTAAGTAGTTAGTAACCAAGGTAGATCCCTATTTTGCAACTTTTACTAAAATAAATCCTCAAGTGATGGGTTCAAGGGATTTGACAGGAGTTAGAATTTGCAAGTAATTGGTTCCCAACACACTAGGTGAATGGTCAGTGGGTTCACCTGGTAAGCTAAGAGTTTTGCTGCTGATACCTGATAGGACCGTAGGTCCCCACTACAGAAAAGTTCAAAAATAGAGAAAAGCATCTACCCAATGCTCCGTACTTTTGAGTAGGCATCTAACTGATGTAAATTCATGGAGAAATTTACCTCGAAATCAATATTATTCGTGAAATGAAATCGCTTTTCCTTGCTTCCTTCTTCCTACTCAAAAATCACCTTATCAAATTTGATTCAACAACATGCTTGAAATGATCTTCGTTCAATAACAAAGAGTGCCTTTAAATAAGAAATAAGTATCTGCATAAAGTCATTAAGCTTTGTTTGCATTTTTAGTTTGTTAAAGAGAAGAAGGAGTGATCTGTCCGTCCAGAAGAAATCTCTATGGTTTTTTATTTTCATACAAGAGAGCATCAAATAATCAAATGAGGTTTTTATTTGTTTTTCAAGGAAGGACAGAGAAAAATAACCACATTTTATATTCCAAACTCTTTGCAATAAAGCGAGATGTTAAAATAAATATTATGTTATCAGTACTTCATTATCAAACTTGGTTAACCACTTGTGAAATCAATAATCATTTTAACTCTAACAAAGGGTTAGCTGTGATTAGAACTGGGAAGGGAGAAATCTTTCAATCTCACAGAACTTCATACTACTGAGTGATATTAACCAGTAGTGAGTGTCATCCAGATCGGGGTAGACTAAATAAACACCAGACGGCCGTTTATCTCGTTTGGGACCGAACACATCAGCGGTGTACCCCGTTTGACTTAGCTCTCAGAAGGCTGAATCGGCTCAAACCATCTGATTTCTGAGCAGTTACTTGGCCGAACTGGTGTTGCCATAAATCGAATTCCCAATTCTCAAATTACTTAGCGATTTGCAATCTATACAGCTCGAGTGGTGAAACTTCTTCCGTAGTTTCCTTTAGACACCCAAATAATTCATATCACAAAATGTGATTGGCTTGAAACCATAAATCGTGATCAAGGAAGCAAGCATACTTACATATTTGCCGTTTAGTGTTTAGATCACCTCTATCTGGTTAGCAAGCACTACTGGTTGACATGAGTAGTAAACAACTACTCACCGAAATCAATCAGTAGTATATAGTTCTAGGCGGTTTTTCTTGCTTTTCTGACTACCATTTATGGTATCAAGCATATCACACCTATTGTGATATGAATAATTTGATTTTTAAACGAAACTAAGGTGCATTTTCACTTCTGAAATACTGTACATTGCAAACTGTTAACTAATTTGCAGTTTGTGAATTTGGTTCCCATTCTCATGTATGAGTAACATTGGATGACGCGAGTTCTCTTAAATTTTGCAAATATTCTTAGCTGACTGGTGTCTATCTACGTCCTGTAAAGCTACTCTCTTCCCACTAGCATCTCGCGTTACATCATACACAAGTTTTAAGTATTCGCTATATTTGATTAACTTTATCAAAATTCCTTGGTATTTGCTTTGAACAAGTGGAAAAATGAGAAAAGTTAGTAGAGTTCCATGAAGTTAGATTATTTTAATTATTCCAATAAATTCAGTTGTAGCTTGCTATTACTGTTTTGTCTTTCATGTAACATGATAAGTTATCGTGTGATGTTTGTCACATTGCTTTTTGTTACAAATAAAGAAATTTAATGCTCCTTGATAGTGATGTAGAATTTTCAGAACTTCTCTCACAATCTGCTTGTAAAGTTAGTGTTATAATAATTCTCCTCTATGTCAGTCCCGGACCAATAAGCAAATCGTCGTTTTTCATTCAGGTTCTACCAGATCGGCTGGTGCTCGATTTTATCCAACGGTCTCCTCACCTTGTATCCGATCCATCCCCACATATTTTTCGAGTAGTAGTGTAATAACAGAAGACAAGGGCCAGGCAACAGATCGTTTATCTAGGAAATCAATACATATTTACATATTTTCATGTACATTATTATAGATTATTGTTAGCAAACAAACACAGTCTTCTGATTGGTTGTTTCTCACTTAAAGTTAATCTTTCATCTCTTTGTGACTGTTTCTTGAATGTCAGATCATCTATATGTTAACTGTATCCGCCTACGCAAAGTCTGCTGTGGTCGGTTTTGAATCAGTCTTTGTTCATATTTTCTCACGACAAATCTTGAGAACGTAAACATTGACGTAAATTACTGTCTACCAATTTGGCTAGCAGCCAGCCCTCACCACAGTAGGTTCTTGAGTAGTTCGTACCTAGAGTACCCTGTTGCTAATTCTTTCTGGTCATTTTATCTATTAAATGCAGAGCCAGTGAATACGGTTTGTGATAAAAGTCTGCTGCAGACTGTTGGAAATGCTTTTCGTGACGAATATGCCAAGTTTCTGACTCATATTAAAGAACCGGTTGAATTAACATTAGTGTTTAAAATCCGATCTTTGTTCTTAATGCTGAGTGCGGAAGATTTCCAAACTGATTTCACAGTGATGAAGGTCTGACTTATCTTCCCGATTCTGACTGGCTTTGACATCCTCATCCATGCCATTGCCTGAAGTTAAAACCATGCTTCCTAGATAGGTGAAGGAAGTGACCACTCTCACTTTTCGTCCTTTGTTAGTGACTTGTGCTTGTTATTGCTGGTTGACTTTTTTACAGTTTATAAGGATCTAGTTCAGCTTTCAAATGTTATATGATATTATTTCGTTTGTGTTGACTAGCAGTTGGATTCAAGATTAGTGGAACTCATCAGCTGGATATACCTGCAGTTGCAACGAGTGATGTTGTTCACACTGAGAACTGAGGCCAGCACTCATCATTTCAAATGTCAAAGCATTATCTATTGGGCCATGATAGCTACCTCTTTTATAAAGGGTATCAGTTGATGTTCGTTTGTGTCATTTTACATTTCCTTTCAATCGATTTGTAATGAACTGAAGTACTTGGTTTCTGTTGACGTGTTAACTGTTAGTGTGGACACCTCAACGATGTCTGAAGTGTAACGCGGTGGTATTTGTTTGATAATGTTTAGAAGCGGACTTCAGGGTGCCTATTTCATTATATTTCAGGTGTTTTTAGTGCACCTTCCATGGAACCAAAATAAACACAAGGCTATAATTAATAGATCAAACGAAACCAACTTAATATTAACTAAATAAACGTTTAAGCCGCCTGCAGATGCTTCAGTTGTTTTAAGTTTTCCTTTAACGTGTACGCATCAGACCAGACTCGGACGCCACTTTTTTGTGCTCCTTTCTTGTGCTGTTAACATGAATGTTTTCTGAGTCCGTAGTTCAGCTATACTAGCCAGATAAGTTCAAAAATCTTTTCTCTAAATAACCTTAACTTTTCATTCGAATTAAATATACTGCTTAATCAGAGCACTAAATAACTGAGCCTTTTTGATATACGTTTTGTTATGAGTACTTAAAAGTTAGGTAAAGTATTTATTTATGGGGTAATTAGGAAAATTGAGTTTATTATGGGTTGGTATTGTGTAGCTAATCAGTAGCACAACTAGTGCCCTACATTCTAAAACCTAAAACGTTTTTCTTGATTTATCCTGTATGCGCGACCGTTAAAGTGTTCAGCTTAAGGCAAAGGAATATTATTTTCACAATTTTCCTACTGTTTGTAAAACTGTAGTGTATTTTCCAACTAGATATACTCATAAGGGTAGTCATTTATCGTAAGGATCCACATAAGTCAAAGATTAGATATTAAATTCTCTTATCAACCAAAATTACAAAATTCTATTCTGAAGCGATCACCGACTTTGACTTAACTGATAAATACTAGTAAACAATGACTTAACCTTCATCTTCACAACAATACAAAATTATGTGCCGAAATAATTTATTTTCCTAAAATTTGAAGTCCTCTTTAAAGGTGCAAAGTCCTTCAGTTGATCCTATTCTGATAACCTTGATTTCTCGTCCCATATCACCTACTAATTAACTAATTTTCGGGTGACATGTTTCAATCTACAAATGTTTACACATGAAACATTTATCTGATACTAAACCCAAGTCTTACTGGCAAAATTATCCATCACTCACAGAAGACGCAGATATCTCTAGCTGATGAGTCCAACGTGGGACAAAACCCGCGTACTGGATTCCGCTGCCAACCACTACCAGGTAAATAACTCAACATTAAAGCGGAAGCTATCATCGAACCACTCGTACCCGGAGTCCACATGTCAACAAAGAGCTAAAACATTTCAGTCCATTATCATCAATCAGTGGGGAAATTCAAATTGATTTCAATCAATAAACAATGACTTACCTTTCCAAGTTCTCCTGCTCCTATTCGACGTGGCTTAATTATCGGTTTGTAGTTTAAATTATCAGCAAAATCATACCATTTATCACTTTGTGATTTTGATTTCTCTGCAATACTCAATGCTTCTGATGTTCGTAGTCGTAACTGTCGTTTTTGATCGCTACTGGTTTCATCAGTCGGATCTTCACCACCACAGTCAGTTCGACTACTTACAAATCCACTTATTTCAGCTGTAGTTAAATGCTTTTTATTGCGATTAGCTATCTCGACTGCATCGAGTCGTACACGTGGTCTTGGCGGTGTTTCACAATAGTCTGCTGTGTGCGCAAACCATAATCCAGGCGTTCCATTGTTTTTAATTAAATTATCATGGGCTGCAGAAAATGTATCTGTCAATAACATTTTTCTTATGAGAGAATTTGATGAGTATACAATTGATTTAAAATAAATAAGTTGTTTTCTCAATATTTGTTTATCTTTCTTTACTGCATTTTTGAGAAGAGAACGGTTGTTTTTTTTCTTGTTATAACTAAGCAACCCTATATTGGTGATTTGCTGTTATCTTTTTTTGCATATCGTTATTATATTTGAACCAATCATAATTCAAGTAAATAATGGTTGGTATAGTGACAGTAAACTGTGCAAATTTGTAAATAGGCTTTAGAGTTTGTAGGTGGAATAGACCAATTTGATCTTAGTTTTTGGACAAATATCATAAATAAGTTGGTTTACATAGAATATCAATGATAGAATATAAAAGAGAGAAGTAAATTAGTGTGGTCAACAGTAATTACGAAGTAGTCTTAAAAATGAAGTACTGCTTTCATTTAGTGTTCCCTGGGCTATTTACTCAAAAAGGACTATGTCATACTGCTCAAGATCCGATTCAATGGCCAGTGCATGAATTCTGACTTCTGCCAATTCGTGATTTAGCGCGACCTCAACCAATGTCGTCGGTGAGACATCCATCTTCACACGTGACATCTGGATTGACCTCGCTGGTCATGACTTCTCACTAGAACTCCAGGAAACTCCATCATGTAGCAAGTCACTAGCGAGCATCAGATTAATTTTCTATAGTTTGGTTTGTAAGGGTTAGTAATTATTTTTTTATTTTGTTTTTGATGCTGTCGAGTCAATTAGATGCTGCATTGTACAAAATGCTGAGAATTCCCCACTGTGTCATAAGTAATGTCTTGGAATATAGCAAGCTATTACTATAAATACTTGCGTGATAAATTATAATTTGTGCAGAGAGTTGAAAAATGTTTATTGCAAAAATGTATAATGAAATAACGAATTGTACACTGATCAGCAAAATTTGTCGTTGGTGTACTCAACAATACTGTTGAACGGTGTAGAATAGAGCAGACAGTTGAAATATTCTTTCTGGTATTCTCACCTTCACACTGCATTAACCAGTTGTTTTATCCTAGCTTGGGAGTCTTCAAAAGTTCATTCTCCCAACCTGATATGAGATTGATTGCAGAACTGTAATGTCTGTTACTAGGCCTCTTATCATTTATTTAATTAACTGAAGTTGAATGACTCATATTTCTGAACATCATTCATTGTGAATAATCATTATTACTCAATGTCTTCGGTGACTGAATGATGGCACACATTCCAGTCGTCACCAGTTCCGGTATTCTTGAACACTTACTGCTAAGTAGTCCTGAAATGGAACCATTCATTTGTCTATTTCTCACAAAGTTTATATCAGTGATTTCTAAAAATTGACTTTAAACTTTATCAGTTATCTGTAAAATTCAAAACTGGATAGTATTTGTTTGTTTAAATGAATGTTGACAGGTTATTGTGCTTAAGGAAACGCTTACATAGGCCGTAAGACAAAAGCAATGAAAATTCCCAATGGTATATCTTCTTAATATTCTAAACGGATTGAACCTTTAAACAATAGTTTACCACTACCTTAGCCTGCCATTTTTATTACAGAATAAATAATTGATATGAATTAAAACAATGAACTGAAAGTCAATGGTCCCTCTCATTCTGTCAGTTCCGCAGTAACAGTATTGTTGATGGATGAACATGCAGTGCATTCTCCACGGTAGCAAACTAAACCAAGAGTTAAAATTAATAGATTAAACTGAATCAACTCAAAAATTAATTAAGTGAATGTCTAGCCTCTCTACAGGTGCTTTAGGTGTTTTGTATTTTGTTTTAAGGGGTACACATTCAACCGGACTCAACTAACATTTTGCACTTCCTCTTTGTGCTGGCAGCATGTACATTCTCCTTTTTCGTAGTTCAGCCGTACTAGCTAGATAAGGTCGAAAAAATCTTTTCCCTAAATAACCTTGATAATTTATTTTATTTAAATATACCTCTCATCAGAACATATTCCAAAGTAATTGAATCTTCTCGATTTGCGTTTTTTTTATCAGTGACTACAAGTCAGGCATTATACTGGACAGGTGGTAATCAGGCGTATTTACGTTTAGTAAGGCTGGCATAGTTTAGTATATCAACATCACAACCAGCAAGTTACAAACACAAGAAATGAAAATTCAACACTGATCTATGAAGGAAAATGCGAGAAAATGTCTCATTATTTTGGTTTATTTTCATGAAACTGCTGTTAAACTGACATAAATGAAGTGTGTCATTTCTTTCATTTTATCCTTTAAGCAAAGTGTAACAGTTTTGAACCTATCATTATGTATGTATGATGTATATAAAATTTTACACTAATATCAAGAACCAAGTGCTAGTGAAGTTATTTACCTTGACGACAAACCATTCACAGTTAGCCCTCAACTATTGTAGAACACTGAATAATCGTCACTAACATTTTTCTTAGTGATTTAATTACAACAGTAGAGAAAGACGGAAGAAAATTTCGCCACAGAAGGTACGCAATAGACGTTAGACTAATTCTATGCCTATTCATGGCTTTTTATACATATATACATTAAACAATATTAGAAACATACAATTTGACTTTCAGTCAGCTAAAATGGATTTAAAATTTAATTCATTCGGCGAAAAACTCAGTGACATAAAAAAGGGACCCGATAGTAAAGAGTGAGGATACAAGTCATTGCAAAACAAACTTGGCATACTTTCGTCTCTTTAAAATTGAAAAGGTAAAACAGAGGCGATCGGTTACGATTTGAATTTCATCAGGCAGTTGGTTTTATGCGATTTCGTATTCTAAGACTAGGTGTGCAGAGTACTATAATTCACTTGCACAATTACATTCTGGTAGGTCAGAAAAGTGCTAAAATATATTGTCTAGTTCTCATTTTAAGTCTATATCAATAGGACAAGGTCTCCCTTTTCCTCGATCAATTCACAATTTCTAATACTATTTATAGGTTTCCAGACCGTAGGTGTTACGAACTTCGTGGGATAATTTGAGCGCCGAGTTAGATTGATTCATTATAAATTATTTAAATTAATCCCAACGTGTTAAGAAAATCAAAACAAGATTTTTCCGAATGTTTCGCTGTGTAAGCTACAGCTTCTTCAGCAGATTTATTCGGATTTTTATTAATTATCAAAATATATGGTCAAAAATTTTTTACACAAATTGAAGTCAGATTATTTGAAAGTCATTTGTCCATGGACATTTTTACCAATAGAAATATGTAAGCAGTCATCACATATATTTGTAATGACTAGTGTCAAATTGTTGTTGTGTTCACTCTTCTATAGTTGATTTGTACAGATTAGTTTTGTATGAGTGTGTGTGTATATATGTTATTTATCATGTGGAAAATACGTAAATTCATATGTGATAAACAAGATACTACATGTTTTAAAAGGTCATGGAGGCACATAGGGTGTTTATTGTTTTTTCATCTGTCTTGCTTCATAAGAGTTTGCCATATAGGTGATAAGTCTATCCCTTCTTTCCTATTCACTGCATTCGATGTGGTTAAAATATGCCAGGCTTCAGAAGTCAGTCTTTCTTTATGTGAATGAAATCCTCTTCCAAGAATCTCGACATTGTCGAAATCAATCTTATGTCTACTGTCTATCGCATGCATTGCTATCGCTGATCTTTTTTCTAGACTTTTTAGTTCTACTTCATTTCTAGGTGGACGTTTCGTGCATAGTCTATGTTCATTCACTCTGACCTTCACCTGCCTACTGCTCTCCCCTATATAGCATGCATCACATTCTGAACACTTTATCTTGTACACACAATTACTTAGTGACATTTTGGGAACTATATCTTTGACATGCACCAGCGCTTTCTCCAGAGAATTAGAAGGTTTGACATAGACTTTAATATTATATGAGGCAAATAGTCTTTGAAGTTGTTCAGCTGTGTCCTTTCGGTATGGGATGGCTATCGTCAGTATAACCATTTCCAATCAAAATCTGTTTCATGTTGGATATCTCGTTCTCCATATCGTCATTATCTGTTATAATGTTTCTAGCTCCACTCAATTAGGCATTTAACTGACAATAAAAAATATCTTGTGACACCGACGAACAGAAGAATTCACTTTAGCTGTACTCGCAGTTTCGCAAAAGATTTGTTTTCCAGAGAAATGTGACGGAATTTTGACATTTTTTGAAATTCAGCCGGATTCTCTATGTGGAGCAAATTAACTCTTGAGACGGAAAAGAATGTGATGATTTCGGGTTTAGAGTACAGTTCCGAATCGAATTCACTGTGGCTGAATAACTTTTTCCATTTGTCAGGATGCATCTTCCGCAAAACTACGAGCTCTCAGTGGACTCAAATTTCCCTATTCAAACTCATAATCATTCTACTTCAGGTGCGTCGGTGGTTCAGCCGTGGAACGCTCGCCAACCATGAACGTGGTCCTGGGTTCGAATGCCGGCCAACACACTCTTAAATCGAGCTTAGCCTGTAGTTAGCCCGTAAAAGAGGGAAAGCTGGGCGTAAGGCTAGCATCCCTATCACTGGTGATATCCGCATCATGCAGTGCATCCAACATTTCACTAATCAGATATCAAGTCGAAACAAGTTGCATTACTTCACAATTTACATCTCTAATATTACACACCATCTGAAAATGTCGAGGTACTCTCCTTTCTAGATGACACAAATTTGACATCTTTCTGAACATCTGGTTTTTCACCAGGGATGACATCTTACTACTGTGGCGGCCGAAAAACATATTAAATTATACGTTCACCGAAAAATAATGAATCCAATGAAAATTGTGGTTGTTATGTGAGACTGAAAAGGACTGAACCTTGGACCGCGCGTAACGGCCGAGTCTGTTCCCCTCTCTTATCACATCTGCCAACCAACTCCGCCTCGCACTGATCGACACATCCACACTGAGATATTTTGCTCCAATCTGCTTTTCTCTACGCAGGAGCTCTCCGATGGTCGACATCTCTAAGGTTTAGCGGAGGATTTGCATAATAAAGAAAAGGACAATTTAATCCCTATTATTTTGTACGTCTATATTTTGAGTATTTTCAAATAACTCCAGCTTTTTGTGTATTCTAACTTAAGTGAAATGATTACCTTATATACATACATGTTAGCATTTGTTCTGTCCTTTTTAAATGCGCGTATAAACATACTTAGTCGCTAGGTCTACTACACTACAAACAACCCAGTTAGAGAATGCACAAGGGTGAAGCGGCGAAAAAGTGGGTAAAATGATCAGTTTTGATCAGTTGAGACGTGGACAACATAAAATACCCACTTTTCCAATTCTTCTCATCTTTCTCAAGTTGTTAGCCACTTTTACCCATTTCCGTAATTACTGAACGAGCGAATTACTCACTTTCAGCCATTTTCCCCAAGTACTAAAAGGATGAATTGCCTACTTTTTTGCTGAATTATAAACCACAACCAATGTCTACCATACTCGTAAGTCTAAAGAAAGATGTTTCAACAATTAACTTTCTCTTGCATCTCACTCAAAATAAAAAGGAAAAAAAGCATCAAGCAGAAGACGATTTATATTCAATGGGAAATACTTACAATTAAATACATGTACAGACTTAACTGTCGAAATTATTGGGACGATAGTGAATTGATGTTACGGTCTTTAGGATTAGAGTAATCTTTCCGCTGAACTTGTTGTTTGAGTGCTTTTAAGATAGACACCACAGGGAAGGTTAGAATATATCAGTTTATTCGTGCTCTTGTCGGAAAATTTCAAATTTTAACCATTTTAATTATCTTTTATCCAGTTTTCACAAAATCATATCGTAGTAAGTCAGTAGACGAAGTGGTAAATTATGTTTCGGTTTCGTTATTTTTAGGTATGACAATCTTTTGAGATAAAAAATTAACGTGCGTCATCTCAGTAACATAATACGATTGCGTCCAAAATAAACCGAACAATATTCAGCTACCAAATTATCATTTGAATGAATTGTTAAATGATATTTTAACGGTTAAGCTTTTTAGACTTCATTTTAGTGGATCCGAGTTTTCTTAACTTACACTTTTCTAGCTTTTGTTACATTATTTATTGCACTCTCAAAAACTTTAAATTAGCTGCTACTAGCTAGATAAGTTTTTGAACTTTAGGTCAGAACAACCCTAACTTCTAATTGTATTGCTGTCTTTAGTATTCTTATAAACTAATATATCTTTTAATTTTTATATTTTCCATCAGTTCCAACAGACAGGGTAACGTCAACTATGGTATGAAGCATTAATCTAGAGGAAATTCTCAATAGACAGCTGTCAGACGCTACCATAATTGCCATCCTCTACTATGCTATTATGTAGCACACATGTTGGGGGGTTGGATAGTAAACTATCCAGGCTAGGCAGCCTTCCCAAGATCAACCATACGCATATAGAAAATTCATAAGTAGGACCAGAGACAGACAGCGGTGACCACGTAATATTCGTGTTCGACTTAATTATTAATAAACAGTTAACCAGGTTTAAATCTCCTACCCAACGCCGATAACTGTGAATGGATGAGGGAAGATCCGTGGTTGTGGAAGTAGCCACGGCTGCAGCAGTAAATAACGGTGGAAGAGCACTGACAGTGTTCGGGGTGCGTCGGTGGCACAGTGGTCAGGACTCTCGCCGACCATGCACATAGTCTGGGGTCCGATCCCCTGCCGACGCACACCCGATATCTATGGTCGGCCTGCAAAATTTGGGCTACCGATATCCATGCTGAAATTTCCATACTTGTACTGAAAATACGGTGTGGCATCAAGTTATAACCAAAAATAAATTTAAAAAATTACAATGGCTATAATTGATTCCGTCCCTATGGTAACTAACTCTCTTTTGAAAATTACGTACAGGCTGAAAGTTTTCTTCCGTGTGACCTTAGGATTCAAGGAAGATGGTGATTCAGAATGAGACTTTCACAGAAAGAGTCAAACCATAGTGCAAATCTAGTCATAGGAAATAAGTGCAGTACCAAAGTGAAGGGGTATAAGAGAAAATTCTAGAAAAATCTAGTGAAGAAACCGAAGATCACACCCAAACTGTGTACTAGCCATGGAGTGAGTCATTAGAACATAGACTGCTGGATTTCTTTGGGATCTGAAGGTAACCAAACCTTGTCGCAGTGCTTTCAAAAGACGAAAGTGTAAACAGCATGTGTGATCTTTGGCTACAAACTATGCAATCGGATTTCTCGGTGATTATTCCTCTGAAAATAACCCCGAGTATGGTTCTCGAGTATCCAGAAAAGCGTCGTCACCAAAGAGCCCAGGATGCGACCACCTCAAAACTGTAGTTCTCAAACCATGCTCAGAAGCTCTATGGGTACTAATATGAAAGAAATTAAATACCGAAAGCTGAGAGGAAAGCTACACTATTTACAACCCTTTATTTCGGATATCAGCAAGACCTCAAGTGCCACAGATTTACAGTTCTACCATTAAAAATATGAGTAGGCGGTAAACCTTTTGGATGGTTGTTTCAGGGAATGTCTGGATGAAACAACATTCTGCAATGAGTTCAACGTCGTCTCAAGAAGGATGGTTCATGCGCTACAGAACTGCAGCCAGCTAGGAACTGCTGCACAACATACCGTGACCGAAACGTTAAATTGTCCGTATTGTTTTGAGAAACAGGAAATGCTTATGGCTCCGTCTCATGAAATCTTAATCTAGAAAGTTTCCAAAATGGAAATCTGTATCCCACTACTGAGGTGAATCAAAGAGTACCTGGAGGTTAAGATATTTTCTAAGAAGACAAGTTGGGCACGCTACCAGAGCTCTTTTATAGGTAATGGGGGATACAAGAACATCTACACTCAAACTTTTCATGCAGCTGTGCAAAACATTAGGACCATACTGGGGGGAATATAGTGTCACTGCACACTACTCTTTTGGGAAAAGTAGAAGTGAAAGCAACTAATGCCATCAGTGATCTGGAATAACGTTAGCACAACGATCAGCTGTGAAAGTTGAAGATATGTTAACGTAGTTACCACACAACTAGGGTGATCAAATTATGGCACACAAAATAGTGCACAACTTAATTCATCAGAGCCGAGATAGAAAGGCACTAAAATATCCCAATGAAACCGCTCATCACAGGGCAGTAAAACAGACTTGGAATAATTTCTTTTCTCTTAGGGATTGTAATTCATAACCTCAGAAAAAGAGTGGAATGTTATGCTACAACGAATAGTCTTTACACATCCACATGGGGAGCAGTCAGGTTCTAGGAGCTAGCTGTAGCATTACCTATTCAAACAATCCACTCCATCATTTTATCCTAGTTAGCCTTGTGTCTCTTCCAGACACGTTCTTTCTACTGTTTTTGTCAAATGTTTGTTGCAAACACAGTGTAGAGGTAGATAATTCCCCGGAAATATGAGCCTCCAGCATTCATTACTCAACACTGAATGCTGACCATAGACTTGTTTAGATGAAGGCTCGTGGTCAAGCATCCACGTCTTTCGGAACGCCATCGTGTAACGTTAGGTTGCTCATGAACGATCCTTATCTAGGTAAGCAATCATCCTGGTACTACTATTATGGTCTCCAAACTTACTTCGTATTTTGGACGATTAAACCGATGCTCTGCTTCGTCTTTGGTCTACGCAGAGCGAATACTACACGTCACTTGCGTGTCGGTTCCCCTGCATTGCTGTTATTTAAGTTGACCAGAAATCTCAAGGTTTTTACTAGATTTCAAGAAAAATTTGGGTTTTTAACATTGGAAAGTGGGCTGAAAATTTGGTACTTTTTCAAACAGTGCGTTACCGTTCAGCATGCTGTAATGTAAGTTGTTGTTCCTTTGTCGTGAACGTAGTCATTTTCATTTAAAATATTAAAAATTCAATTGTAAGTAATCCACAAAAATGTATTCGGGTGAAAAGTATGGTCTAAAATTAGTCTTCACAAGGTTTTAGTCATATGTGTACAAAAATATACGTGTATTTTAGAAAAAAAATTAGATTTAAACAAGTCATATAATAATAAGATGAGGCAGATCAACTATGCGGTTTGTCATAACAGCAATTTCTTTGCTGATAGCACAGGTGAAAAGTCGAGTGGTTTCTCATGACACTGATATATTCTTATAATGATATTTACACTTAAAAACGAAAAGTGACATAATTATACCAAAAGTATTCGAATGGATGAAGACTGAGTAGAATAGATGGTAGGATTAAGTGGCGCTAGAATTCAGATAAAGTAAATGAACTTTTACTGGATGTGTAAGATGTTTGAGTGTTGACAAGAAAGGAATTATATATATATATATGGCCAAGCTAAACTAACATAGCCAAAGCCTAAGTGGCACAGCGGTTATGACTCTCGCTGATCATGCACATGGTTCGGAGTTCGATCCCGACGCACACCTGATATCAATGGTCGGCCTGCAAAATTTGGGCTACCGATATCACATGCTGAAAATTTCATACCTGTACCAAAAAATACGGTGTGGAGTCAAGCTGTGATAAAATAAAAAAAATAATAAACAACCAATCAGGATTCAGATGAGAAGAATCGCATAATCGTTGAAAAATGCATTAAAAATCATTTGAAACATGATATTAAACTATAAAACTGTCGCTTATGTGTTGTAAGAATGTCTCCTAGTCACTTCAAGACCACCTATGGAGAGATCATACCATGCACTACAGATGTACTCATTCAGGTGACTGCAGATCATCGTGCTTTGAAATCTATTGGTATTTCTGGCATTGTTATTTAACCTTCCCCTAACTCTGACCGTACTTCTAACCACCAATCTTAATTAGCACCCTAATCCTAACATTAATCGTTGACTCTAAACTTAGTCTTAAAAATTATAGCTCTACTTAACAGTATAGATTTGTACAAAAAGTACTTGTTGAGTAAGTAGAATACTGTATCTATCTTCTCATGCATTGACTTGAAATGACTTCTCATAGAGTTCCCTAAATATGACTGGTTCTTAAAAGTCGACTTTCGACAAACCTTGACTTTTACTATGATACTTCAAGTTCGCTATATATATATATATATATATATATATATATATATATATATATATATATGGTGGTATAGCAACTGCTCAGGTCTCAACTGGCCAAGGAAGGAACAATCTCTACATAAACTTCATCTGAATTCACAGCAGATGATTGCTGAAACTATTGGCAAATTTCTTTAGCAGGCGATAGATCATCTTGAATGGTTTCGTTCTGCCAAATGAGTGGCCACTACCAACTAAATGCTACAAAGCAACTAGAGATTGTTGTTATTTAAATTTTACCAAACAACGGATGGTGTATTGCGAAATGTCTAGGCTGTTTATTAATACGCCCAAAATAACTGTCTCCAGAAAAGCAGTTGAACTGATAAATGCACATAATGTAGCGAAACTGTGCAGTTTATCCTTCGGTTTAGTCACAGTAATTCGCTGACTGGAAATTAGAGAACAAAAACAGCTTATAATCGAGTACAGTTATACCTTTGGATACACTGACATGCAGTATAATTAATTATACAATATATCTGGTGTTTCTAGAGGTTGCTAATATACCTCCCATATTTGATTATATCTATGTGAACCAGTTGATTTCACAGTGGGTGTATACTGGAAAGTGAGAATAAAATTTGTTAAACTGTGTTAATTAGTGAAGCTCACATATACATCGAATAATTTGACATACATATGATGGGGCACAATCGCATGGACACGAGTTTTGCTTGGGACTGACTCAGAAACTATTTCCTTTAGCGGAACTAGACGTTATTCACCTTAGTCCTGTTAAACTTATTTGGTTTTCTAGTAATACTTCTGCAAAAATAAGCGTACGCCATTGTTGCATCATATTGTATTCATGGTTCATTAGTCCTGTTTATGGTGTCTTTCTGTCCCGTTCCCGCTTGAATTACAACAAAATGGGCGATCGCATAGTATCAGCGGGCTTTACACAATAATTATGGCTCGTAACCTAGCAATGTAAAAGTAGAAAATGTAAAATTCAAAAACTGTATCTTAAGAGTGAAAGCTGAAAAGAGCTGTCTACTTCTTGATAGTGAATCACTACGAATAATAAATTCACCTTTATCTGAATAATGTAAGTACTGATAGATTTGTCGCAAAACTCTCTTCGCATATCAAAACTGGGGAAGCGTACACGGTTCCGGTTCACTTTTAATATCTAAAGTTTTCTCTAACAGTCGCAGTAGTAATAATTTATGCCTGTTAAGTTTAGGTGTTTCAGTTTAAGAAAATTCCAAGACTATCGTTGATGTCCCCGAAGAGTCAAGTGCACTTAATTTGGGTTCTATGCTATCTATTCGACGTAGGAAAAGTTATTGTTCAACAATAAAGTTATTAGCTGTCTTTCCTAAATGAATCGTGCAAACGTGATACAATGCATACAGTACAAGATCCTGCGAAAAATCAGAATTCAAAATCTAAAATCACACAGTCTTCATTTTATCCCCAGGAAATCTAACAGAGATGAAGAAATTGACTTCAGTAATATAAAACTATTTAAACATCTAAAATCATGAGCCACATCTCTTAGCAGAAGCCCTTTTTATGAAGTAGACTCAAGGTTATCTAAATGACTGACAATATTTTATTTCAATGAATTTGAAAAGCAGTGGTATCTGCATTCATGTGCACTCAAAATTAACATCTGATGTGTATTTTCCTAGCTAGGTGCTTTCAAATACATAAACTCAGTCATTGTAGCTTCTATAATCACCTAAAATGCGTAAATTCAGCTTCTAACCGACAAGTCGTGATCCGAAATCCCATTGTACGCAGTAAAGTCTAGGCAGTAAGATAATATCGTCAACTTTAACCTGGTAGTTGTGACTTAAAAACGAGAAATCCCTAACAATATCAGTAAGTCTGTTTAACTGTAGTAGTTGCTTTTGCAACTGGTCGATACAATTCGTAAAGTAATACTCAGTCTTCGTTTGATAGTTTTCAAATTATTATTAATATTCTAAATATTTTTGTTTTTCAGGAATTTAATGCAAATTTGCGTACTTCATTCACAACATGCGTGTTTTAGAGTTTTATTCAGGAATAGGTGGCATGCATCTTGCTTTCCAAAGTATTCAAAATACCAACTAACCTCATTTTAAGAGTCTACTGTAAAACACGAAGTAGTTGCTGCTGTTGAAATCAATGACGTGGCGACTTCAGTATATGCGTATAACTTTCCCAATACACTAGTATTGAATCGAGTTATTGAGGTGAGTAGTTCTTTAAATGGCACATTAAATTTTAGAGCTTTACCGCTGACTTTGTACATAGCCTAAATGCAGATATATGGAGTCTTTGTCCACCCTGTCAACCTTTTACAAGGTTAGGGAAACAAATGTGTGAAGCGGATAACAGAAGTGCCTCTTTCTTTCATATTCTTGATCTAATTACTGTGTAAGTTTGAATTTTAACAATTGACTTTTAAAGTCTAAAGCCGCAAGGAATCATACTAGAAAATGTAAAAGGATTTGAACATTCTGAGCCATGGAGACGACTGATTGAAGTGTTGAATACATCTGGTTATGAATATCGGGTAAGTAGTGTACAGCACTTCTGTTTAAAGTTACATTTAAAAAGTTATCTGACAATTGTGCGTTGGTGGCACAGTGGTTAGGACTCTCGCCGACCATGCACATGGTCCGAGGTTCGAGCCCCTGCCGGCGCACACCCGATATCTATGGTCGGCCTGTGAAATTTGGGCTACCGATATCCATGCTGAAAATGCCATACTTGTACTGAAAATACGGTGTGGCATCAAGCTGTAACCAAAATAAAAAAAATAAAAAATTGTAATCAAATGTCAGTACACTGTTCACTATGGTTGTTCATCTTCCTGTCTGAATTACGATTAACTTGATAAAAGACCAAGAAGTCGTTTTCTACTAGTCTGTGAACCATGTAGATTTGAATAGGTTGCCAGCTCGACATCCTGGGGATATTTAAAATAAATTGTTGAAGACTGCTGGTAGGATGGCTCGAAACTTCTTATCACTTTTGAAATTCTGAGTGTCTTCATTAAACTCTTCGTTATTGTACAGTCATGTTTGTTCATTGTAGTATCATTCTAATTCTGTTCTATCCGTTTTCACGTGTTATCTAGAAGCCTGAAAACTTCAACTGATGCACATGTGTGCAGGGTCTCAGGTTCATCGATCAGTCCTCTTTCGTGGTGTGAATTGGCATTAGGTCTTGTTAAATATTTCCGCCTCTATTCAGTGAAAGTGTTGTAGTATTGCCTTTAGTTAATCAAACTACCAAGTGTGCGTCGGTAGTTCAGCGCAGAACGCTCTCCAATCATGCAATTGGTTCGGATTTTGACTTCCGACCGGCACACACCTTTCACTGCCCTAGTCGATTGTAATTCTGACAGAGGGAAGATTGGGCGTGAGATTAGCAACTACACCCCGTAAAACTTCAAAGCTCTGGCTTGAAGCCCTACGTTCTACTTGGAAAGCAAAGGAATAAAATAATAAATAAGAATAATTATACAAAGTGAGTAATTTGATGAATTTTATTTCACATAAGATACTTGATCTAACTAGCACTTTGAATCTCAATTGATTGCTATGTTTACAAAAACTGTCACTCACTAAAGCATTTAGTCGCTTGACCTAATAGTTGTGATATAGTGAAAACAGTTTTCGTTCGAGGTTACTTAATTCAAAGATACAAATGATCTTTATTAAGTTTTGCGCTTATTTCACCATAGGGTACTTCTATACACGAAAGAATGAACCGTAGAATTCATACTGCTAGTTCGTGTCCCCATTTTACAATAAATCCAAGAGTGAACTGGTGACCTCAAGCAAAAATCATCTTAGAAGCTGTCGTAAATGTATAGATTCATCCGTATTATATACGCTTGACTCGGCTATAACTTTTACGCATCTTGTCGCGTTGTATATCTTATTTCCCTACCTCGGTTTATTTCTCCTGAGTTATTCTAGTTTTCTGTCATTATAAATACCATTGTTTCCTTCGTGCTGTGATCTCATCTATGAAGCACTGATATTAAGTTTTTATAAAAATTAAAGGACGTGATGCAAGGGAAGAGGATAACTGATTGTTTGAGAAGATTGTGATTTTGGATAAGATTAAAAAGCAGAATGAAGATACAAATGGATATCCGAATGTCGTAATCTTTTAGAGAATTTTTTGAGGCTTTTATTGTTCATCCAATATGATTAGTTGTTCAAGGTCAGTGGCAATATCGACAGGGGTGACTACTGCAGTTTAATCTTCGCTTTAACTAACTCATCAAATTATTCTATTCTACTTATCATACAATAATCAAATTCTTCATACATTTAATTGTCTGACACAAATGCTCAGTGGAACCATGGCCTTTATAAGGTGTAATAGCATAGCTAAACAAAAGTAAATTACTTCACTTTCTGTCGCTACACACTCAATTTACCTCTATCCATAAGAAAACTGTAAATTTACCAAATAGGGTGATGATTTAAGCTCGGATCATGAGGCGATTCGAACAAACAGCCTTCACATCGGTAGTATGGAGTTTTGTGCATTGAGCTACGTAACTAAGCTGTTAACTGGGTCTTCATTCCACTTCAAACATTCAATATGACTACATCACTGCATTACATCCATCAATTTTTCTAAAAGCTTAATATCACTGCATCAGAGATGAGATCACAGAACGAAGAAAACAATACCACTGATAATAACAGAAAACTAGAGTTACTCCAATTAGTTTCCTGGAATTCTCTAAATAAGTATGAGACGGAAGTTATGCCAGCTGCAACGTTAGCTGGTTGTCAGTCAAGCACTGGTGGCTGTTACAGCTTGACTTCAACTTTAATTAAGTCACTTTCGAAATTCATTCAGTATTCTTATAATTCGCTGACAAATCATATTCTGTATTTCCATTCTATTTCTATTTTCTACTTTGATGAGTTTATTTCCTTTTTCTTTGCATTTTAGCAATTTCTACTTTCTCCTCTGCAATTTGGCATACCTAATTGTCGTCTTCGGTTTTACCTTGTTGCTCGCCTGCATTCATCATCTTGGAATTCACAACTTAAAATGGGAAATTCTGAATTCATTGATTTAAAACCCCCGATCGATGCGCCTTGTTTACCAGGCTGCATGTGTGCACTGTGTTGTGATCTTGTCAGGTGAATATGAATAATATATATATGTGTTTGTTCTTTAATATGAATACCAAATATTCACTTGCATAATTTAGTGTTATTTAATGTGATAAGGAAGATTTTCTGTTCCTCAAAAGGTATTGCGATTGCTGAGTATTTTCCCCAAACTTATTCATCTTCGAATTTAGTTAAGTGTAGGATGATTGACCTAGCGAAGGTGAATAGTTTGGGGAAAAACTCAGCTATTGCAACGCATGCATTAACACGCAATAGGACGGGAGACAGCTACAGTTCTAAGAAAAATAATACAGGTAGATGGAGGGAGAATTTGATTACTGATTCTTTGTTCGTCGAATCTGTACCTAACGCGTGCTGTTAAAATGGCTCAAAAACAATACCAGAGATATGCAAAATATTGTTACCAATAAAATCAAAGGATATGAAATAACGGATTTCATTTGATATGATTATAAACAGCGATGAGTTGTGCTCAAAACGTCATCAGTAAGTTATACTGTATCACTACTGTGTGATTTTTATCGAATGAAATTAACCTATGACTGAGCCGCACTCTACCGTAGTGGCTATTACCCTATTATTACGTCAGACGGTGTTACTGTTAACAAACGATGTTCATTAGATAGTTCTGTTCTGTTGGGTTTCCTATTGGTTCATCACAAAGAGAGTAATTAGCTGGAGGGATTTATTGATATAAGTATAAAACTTGGGCACTGTGGTAGAGTAGAACTCCATTATAGATAAGATTTTATTTTGATAAATCACACAGTGTTATACAGTAATATTAACTGATGATGTTTCGAGCACAAATTATTGCCACTCATAATCATATCAAGGTACTCACACAACTTTTTTCCTACATTCATATACATGTGTGGACTCGATTAGACATTTGAATAAAAAACCAATATAAGATAATGTACATTCAGAAATAATAATATGAGTAATATTGATAACATTATTAGAAGACGGAGATTATCTGAAAAATGTGATGTATTAGCGCTATACATTTCGAACAATCTGATCACACATTTACTTGTCGAGTCAATATATATGGAAAAGTTAAATTAAACAAGGTGACAAAAAAAAAAGAATTAAGAATAATTAACACAAACGTTTGGTAATCCAATCAAATAAGGATTACCAAGGTAGGTTAAGAGTAATAACAAACTCTTTCTGAATACACAAGGGGGGCTTAAGTTTATGAATGGCTGTAGCCTCAGCGTATTTCAGTAAACGTCCTTGACCGTTTTTTGCTATCAAAATTTATAAAAGGGACTAACTGTTTTAATATTGATAAGATGTTTTTACAGTAAAAATAAGTAACTTGTTAGAATGTTGTGATGTGCTTGAAATGAAATAGAATTTTAAGATTATTTATTATCCTCTTCTGATCTGACTGGCGGTAATAATATCTTCCATATTTCTGGTATTTGTATCGAGTCACTTCTGTTGCATGTGTTGGGTGTAGAGTCAATGAATCAGGATTCAGTAATCGATCTCTCTCTCCGCCTACCTATATTACTCTTTAGAATCTTAACCCTCTCCCACCCTGTTGTGTGGTTATGTGTTAATGCATGCAGTCCAATTGCTGAGTTTTTTTCTAAATTACTCATCTTCATGGGGTCAACCATTCTTACCTTAGTTAAATTCTTGTGTTCCGACAATCTGACTACCCCCAATCTACTAGTTTGACCTCACAGTCATTGTGCTCAAAACGTCATCAGTTAATAATACTGTATAACACTGTGTGATTTATCAAAATAAAATCTTATCCATAGTTGGAGAGAAGGTACATAGATATATTTCATACTTGTAAAACATTGGAACTAATAGCAGTTGAACTTATAGTTGCAAATAGAGGTGATCTTGCAGTAACACTCATGCAAGGAAAATGACTCGATTAACTTACGTTCATTCCATTGCTCAGCCTACCTGTGCGTAGCTAAAATTCATCGAAATTCAATGCATCTCTGTCTAGTAAATACACAATAGTGGATTAATATAACTTCAGCCTTCATCTAGCTGTATAAGCTACTACTGCAGTCCTCTACATTTTGTACACTGACTAACGGGCACTAGCCAAGATGATTTTTCAATCAAATTTGTGCCCGATCACATTCTCTCTCATAACCTCTATGGTTTACTCGGATACCCAATCACACTGAATAATTGTAAATACCTAGCGGTGTTTCTACTATTATAGCTAATCATTACACGTAGCTTTAGTTGTATATTTCACTCTTATAAGTTTCCAGACAGTAGATGTTACGAACTTCCTGGAATAATTTGAGCTCCGAGTCAGATTGATTGATTATAAATTATTTAAATACGCTGGGATTAATTTAAGTAATTTATATTTCATCCTTAGTTTAATATTTGACTAAGAAATCCAATATATGCATATACTTAGCTGTCTAAGGCATATAAATATAAAAATCTGCCCACGTATCTAGAATAATTTCAATAACTGTCTTCGCTCCATCCTGAAGACCAAATGGCCAGAAGGTATTAACAACAGAGAACTCTGGTAACGACCTAGCCAATAACCCACTACCTAATAAATATACTTAAGGCAATAGAGATGGATTGGATATACGCTGAGTAGACCGATAAGTGACATTGTAACAACAGAAGACAAGGGTCAGGCAACAGATCGTTTATTAAGGAAAATCAACACATATTTATAGATTTTAATGTACATTATTGTAGGTTAATGTTAGTAGAAAATACAGTCTTTTGATTGGTTGTTTCTCACAGAAAGTTAACCTTGCATCTCCTTGTGGCTGTGTCAGATCATCCATATGTTAACTGTATCCACCTAAGCAAAGCCTTTGTTCTCATTTTCTCACCACCAATATTGGGGACATAAACACTGACGTCAATTACTGTCTACCAACTTTGGCTAGCAGCCAGCTCTCACCACAACATCACATACCAGGCTGGCCCTCCTTGGTGGAACTTGAATGCGAGACTATAAGTTGAGTACCCGAAAGAGACATAGAAGAGATCGTGTGGGGGAGGTGATGTAAGCTTATGAGCACTCTTAGGGCCATCTAAAAATGACTGCAGAAAACAGGACGAAATGGAGATGCGTTGTTGAAGTTCTATGTTTCACTTGGGACCCAAATGAATAATAATAAATGATAATAATCTAGAATAATTAACTGCCGCGACTATAGTTCGTTTCACACTATGTATATATTTTTTAACTTGAAGCCTGTAACATCTTCTCAAAGTTTACATCCTTGTGATTTGTTTTCCTTTCATTATTTCAGGCATATAGAGCGCACGGATGATAATTTCTCTGAGTATGTTAAGTTCTGTCGACCAATCTCAGAGTTTCTATTATCACCAACTGAAAGTATGAGTAAAGAAGTAAGACAATTTATAAATAAATAATTTTATGGAATCTTTTTCTTTTGCCCTAAAAGTTACATTTTCTAGATGAAAAGTGCCTTCAACGTTATTTCCGTATATTTGATATCGTTAGACCGACTGATAAAAAAACACGGTGTTTTACAAAAGGTTATGCAAAACGAATGGAAGGTACAGGATCTGTACTACAAACATCTATGGAGAATGAAGTAAGTACTTGTAGAATTAAACATTGACTATCAGTGTGTGTGTGTTGTCCATACAACAATGAAAACTGTTGTTATTTTGTGAAACAGATCCGGCACATTTTATATCCACCTTTCTTTCATAAGCATAAATCTATCGTTTACATAGAGGTGTACGTTGGGGGGTTCAGTGGTAGAGTGTTCGCCAACAATGCATGTAACTGGGGTTCAACTCGCGGTCGGTGCACTCCTAAACCCCGCCTAGCCATTATTAGTAAGCCTGGCAAAGAGAGAAGGTTGCGTATTAGGCTATCAACCACGCCCCGTGAAAAATAACACCACTCACTGCTACTAAAACTTTAAAGCTCAAACTTGAATCCTCGTATTCCACTCGGAAAGCAAAAACATAGAGGTCATATAAATAAGCTTCACTAAAGACATCGTTTTGTGATCAGCTTTGACCAATAAGAAATCTTCATACAATTCTTCCCATTAATAAACTTGAACAAAGCAAGAACAACAATTGTACCAGGATAATATGAGCTCATCTTTTATTATTATAAGAAATCCACCAGAATTAGACTAATTGTGAACTTATATAGGTTTCATCTGCTTAAGGATTAAATGTATCATTAAGGGAAAAGTGTACATTTGCTGTAATATTGAAGAAAGTCATTAAGGCCTTCCTTCACTCAAGAACTCCAACGTCAACATGTTTTATTGGCAACACATAGGAACCTGTTGTTCGCCGTGATTGCGTCTATTGGTGAGCCCTTTGCAACTGCATTCAATTGTCATGATAATCTGAATAGAGTACGTCACTAATTGGAATAAGAAGGAATATTTCTATCAACTCGCTTTATACATACCCCTCATTTTTAAGCGTTAGTTTGTAGAGATTTCATTAGTTTCATGTATGACCACGGATTTTGCAGCATTAGTCTATTATAAGTGAAAGGTAAATTCTTCAATATATACATACAACTGGTATTCGTTCACTCATTACTATGTTTTTCATTCATCTATAATGAGTAAGTCGTGTATAAGTTAGCTTCCCGAACTCCTTTTATAACCTCTGGATCGAATTCCATTAACTCTCTGATAGTTCAGCTGAGGTGATTTTAATACAGAAACTTATATAATATACTTCCAGAGTTTCCATTTGTGGAGATTTGATTGGTATCAAGATTAGATCACGGCTTTATCTCACTTAGAGAACTATTGGAAACCGGAGAGTATTGAACAGCTGTTTCGTCCTAATCTCATGCTCTTCGGTAGTACACACAGATAACCACACCGAGCATCCAACCATGAACATTCAGGTTATGAGGCGTGCTCATAAACCATTTAGCCCCTGGGATGAAGTCCAATGGCTGATTCGCAAAACATAGGGCGACCGCTATTCATTGTCACCGGCGAGTATTTTTTTTTACACTCGACCCTGGTGCACCACACTGGTCCCGACTTCTCACTAGAAATCAAGACAACTCCGTAAGCCACTAGTGAGCAATAGATTCGTTTTCAATTATTCGTTTGTGAGGTTTTGATTAGCCCCAATTTGAATCACGAATTGATATCAATACTGGAGATGGTACCATATATCACGAATCTGCAGAAGTTGGAGTTGATGAGCTGCTGAATTCCTTCCGACTGGCTACATGGTCAACGACCTCACCTTCTAAGCTGGAAGTCTTGGGATCTACCCTCCCCTATCCGTGAGACTACGGGCACACAGTATTGAAGAATCCTAGACTAAGACAAAACAGCTATTTTATTATTCCCTGGTTTTCAGTGGCTCCTCTAACCGACATTAATCCGTGATGTAACTCGTGTAATATATTTTAAGTTCCGTTGCTAGTACTCACTCAGGCTATGAACCACATTTACTGTATGATGGCTGATGGCACTAGTCAGTCCAGTTCAACTTAGCCTGACGGGAATGGAATTGAGATTCAAACCCGTCAATTTACACTTTGTTTGGTTGCAGGATTTCATCATGAGTTGGCATTGGTTAGAGAACCATTGGAAAACCTGGGAGTACTGAACAGCTGTCTCATCCTGGTTTGGGACTGTTCATCAGTACGCACCCACCGGGGTTCGGACCCAGGACCTTCTGGTTACAAAGCAACTTGTCCTATTCAGGTAGGTAGTTACCTAGGGTTCTAGTGAGAAGTCGTGACCAGTAGGGTGCAGCAGGTCGGGTGTGAGGACAAATACTCGCCGAAGACATTGGCTAGCGGTCGCGCTATGTCGTGAATTGGCAGAAGTTAGAATTCATGGGCCATTGGATCGGGTCCCAGTGGCTGAATGGTCTAGGAGCTTGCCTTGTAACCAGAAAGTCCTGGGTTCGAGTCCCGGTGGACGCGTACTGATGAACAGTCCCAAACTAGGACGAAACAGCTATCCAGTACTTCCAGGTTTTCCAGTGGTTGTCTAACTAATGTCAACTCATGATGAAATCATGTAACCAATCGAATCCCTACAAACAAACACTTGAATACCATTTGCTTTATTTTTAACACCAAATATTCTGTTATCCGTATGAATTAATTAATTAAATCATTTTTCCTATTTATCAGCCATCTTTTCATGGTGTATACTGTATGCCATCGGACTTTTTTAAATATCCCAGCCTATACACTTCTGTTAAATACTACAGTAGTCCATATTCTGAAGTGCATGTAGTCAGTCCAATTAATAAAAAGATTTATTTTTTCAACTTTTTCCCCTACATTAGACAAGTGAGAAAATAAACACTTTTTATGAAGCTAACAAAAACAATGAACAAGCTGTTGTACAGTATGCTGAACAGTTAAAATTACGCTTTTTTCATCATCGTGAAGTGGCTAACTTTTTGTGCTTTCCCAAAAGTTTTGGTAAGTTATTGTGAAAAAATAAATTATTTTTTGGGGTATGCAGTAAATTTTTACACAGTTGTCTCGATAAGTGTATTTATTTCGTGATTCAAGTAAATAAACAAAATTTGATAAAATGTACATCTGTGATTCACTAAGTAGAACGCTCGCCAGCCACGCACTTGGTCCAGTTTTGATTCTGGACTGGCACATTCCTAAACCTCACCTAGTTTACTAGCCAATAGTAAGCTCGGGAAAGAGGGAAGGGTGGGGGCCATGAAGCTAGCATCCCCACCCTGTGAAAACGACATCACCACTAAAATTCAACAACTTGAAGCCACTACTCGGATTGCGAAGTATTTACTCTCACTCACACTACCTGCCTTCGTGTAACTAGATAGTTACTTTTATTTCCGTGTGACTAATAGTACATAGGCAAAACTTCTCCCTTGCATGTACTAAAATGATAAATTTCATATAGAACAGCTCCGTTGCGCTAACTATTCGTGTTGGGTTTATACATACACTTGTCGGGTGTGCCACTGATGAGATTTATCAGTAGTATATAAAAAACACGTTCATCGGCATAAAAATATCAAATAGAGGAGAGATAAATTTGATATCAAAGAGAGCAAATAATTCAGCGTTGTGGTAAAACATGAGGGACACGAAAAGAAGACAAAGAAACACAATACAAAGGAAGGGTAGAAGTAGCACAACACGGAAGATCTGTGAAAATGACGGTTCGCAGATAAGGTGTACATAATTTCGTTACTCAGAGATACCAAATTCCAAATAAACATTCCTGTACCAAGTCTTCTTCCGTTACAATTTTGGTGGCTCTATTGCGGCTACCGTTGTGCTCAACAGTTTTCTGGTCACCTATGCTAGCTCATGGATGTCTATGGGTTGTGCAGCGTTAACTAGTTGCACTTGCTGAGAAATGTGGTCTGGCACATTCTCGGTGAACTGGGACGTCAATAACTGCGACTCAGTCTCTTCATCTAATGTGGGGGTGCGCGACGTAGTAGGTTCGTCAGCTTCAACGCCAACACTAAAGGGTCACCGTCCAGTCCCAGATTTGCGGCACGAAGTTAATGCATTGCAAGTTGTCTATCCGTCTGGCTGTCGAACTCTGCCCCCAATCGTTCAACCAACTCCTTCCAGGTCTCCTGTCCTGCCCAATATACACTGTCGTATGCCGCCTTTGCTCGACCTCTCAGCAGTGCCACCAGCACAACCGCCTTCGCCTTGACGCCCACCAACTCAGCAGCGACCTCGAAGTCCCGTAGGTCCCGTTCTTCGGAAGCAGTCGCCCAAAGGATCTTCATTGTCTGGAGGCAGCGACACCAGTTGTAACGGTAGAAGACAAGAGATTTGGTAAAGGAATTTCATCTTGGGTATAACTGATAACGCATGCCGGAAATATGGAAAATACTACTACCAATCAAATCACGTGATGAAAAACAATGGAATTATACAAACGAAATTAGAAAGTTGTGTGAGTAACTTGATATGATTATGAGCAATAAATTGTGCTCGAAACGTGGTCATTAGTAAATATTACTGTATAACACTGTGAGACTGTGTGAATTATATTCTACCACAGTGCTTAAGTCCTATTCCTACATCATTGGCTAAGGAATGTTTATTTGGAATTTGGTATCTCTGAGTAACGAAATTATGTACACCTTATCTGCGAACCGTCACTTGCACAGATCTCCCGTGTTGTGCTTCTTCTATCCTTCCTTCGTATTGTGTTTCTTTGTCTTCTTTTCGTATCTCCCATGTTTTGCCGCAACGCTGAATCGTTTGCTCTCTTTGATATCAAATTTATCTCTCCTCTATTTGATATTTTTATGCCGATGAGCATGTTTTTTATATACTACTGATAAATCTCATCAGTAGCACACACTGACATCTATCATCTATTGGAAGTTATCGTATATTCTGTTGAATTGAACTGTGATGTACAGGTCAACAATCTGCATATCTCGAAATGAAGTGTCTCATCAACTGACCGAAGTGTTTATGTACTTAATCACATTACATCATTGGTTCAAATTTATAAAATAATACCAGATCATATATTTAATTTTCTATTGAGTACCAATTGCATACATCTATTTTACAAAAAGATACTCTTACTACATCATTCATCCGCACCAGATAAATATCAAAAAACATGGTGAACAAAGTTTTTAAGAAGTTTATTTGCATGTTTAAAGGAAATATGACATCTTTTTCTTTTTTGTTGAATACTTTACAACTGACATCGTTGTATTCTTCTGTTTTGCATACTTATGTAAATCTCTTGTCACATTTTTTAATTTTTCTTCGAAGCTCAAGTCACAAACTCTTGTTTTACGATGTGAATCATATAATGGAAATAAATTGAACATTACTAGCCCTGAGAAAGTGTGCTTTGGTTTAAAATAAATGTGACATCTATAACAATTTCTATTAGGTCTAAGCATGTTGTAGGTTTTTCGCATCAATTAACTGCAAACACATGCCTTGTGATAGGAGAAAGCCTCTCTCATTATTCAGAAGATTGAAATTAAAACTAGCGGGTCACTTCTTTTTATTTGAAAGGATATTTTGTGTTTAGAGTTACTGTGAACGTCGATGTTACATGTATTTTGTCTCATACCAATAAAACTATAACATAAAAGGAATCCTGGGAACGCTATTCTTAGCGGTTATTTGAATAGGATTGTAAAGTATCTACATATTATTACTGCTTTGCATACCAGAGCCATTTCTGTAGTAATTAGGTGAATTTAAAGAATATTGAACGATCGATTCAATGATCTTGAGATGGACAATCGTAGTTAGATTTTCAAATGTTGGTTTACAGGGATTTGATTGACTACAGGTTTGAGAACGGACTGACTTTAGTTTGAAAATCATCAAGGAGTGCTGGACACCCGTCTCGTTCACGTTTGGGACTCTTCAGCAGTATGCACCTGTGACCCTACGAGTCATGGAAACGAGGACTTTCAGTGTATGAGGCAAGCTCATTGATTATTCAGCCAATGAGATGGAATCCATTGGCCCATGAACTCTAAATTCTGCCAATTAGAGATATACAACACAACTGCCAGTCAGTATCATTGGCAAATATTTGTCCTCACACTTGATCCATGGATCCCGTCTGGTTACAACTTCTGACTTGAACTTCAGGCACCTTTGTCCTGAAGTCAGTCACTAGTGAACACTGGACTAATTCTCAAGTGGCTGGCAGCTAATGATAAAGTTATGACGCAGAAATTATAAATCACGAATGCTGTGCAGGATATATGGAGTAGATTTAATCCCCTAAAAAAGTACCTACAACCAAATCCTATCTTCTAGCTCTAGTTACATCTATAAAGAACAGAGAATTATCTCTACTTATGTTACCTAAGTTAGCCTGGTTTACATTGATTAATCCCATCAAGGTTATTGAGTCAATTTTTCGCTTAAACCACTACTACCCCTTAATTTGGCCCATAATTGCTAAATTAAAGCGGTTAGGCTACGATTTCAGCTTGACTGTTTGTTTCCTTAATAGATATATATATATAAGCTACCCCTATAGAATAAATCTGTTAACTGTTACCTTTTTTTCTTACCCTTCTAGATTTCCCAGAAAACATAACAGAAAAACAACGTCTTCGTTTATTGGGTAACAGTGTGAATGTATTAGTTGTTGGTCATTTAATTTATTGGGCTTTTGGAGCAAAATGATATGTTTCTTTAAATATTTTGTACATGTATTTTTTTCCTTCTAAAAAATCGAACATTGTAAAGTTTATACACTATCTAGCAAAGAATATATACATATATATTTCTATACAAACTGTGAAAGAAAGACTTCTCATGTCAAATTATTACTCACAAAAGTTACTAAACAGGATTACTTTCCCTCGCTCTCTGTAATGTAGGAATTATAATTAAGTGCTCAAGTCTTGGCTAATGTCCACTGTAGACCTGCTTTATTCACCTTGTGTACAATTTGTTCCACTTGTGAAGTAGTCAAAGTTGTCTGATAATCACCAATTTGACCACGACGCATAAACCGTGTACCTTCTTCTGTTGACCATAATCCTATTTCTTTCATCCACTCAAAATTTGTTGTTCGATTTCTAGACATATTTTCAAATGAACAGTGTTCAGCTAATTCACCTATCTGACTAGTTGTTAGTCGTTTTGGTCGAGATAAACAGTCTGACGCATTATCAATCCATGTTTCATGGATAAATTCTTCGATAAGTTTTAATGTCGCCTGTGAATTCGACTTAAACATTTCATAGGTAATTAGTAGTACTTTTGGTTTGAGCGCGTCTGTTTGCTTTTTGTCGGTGAATTTACTACTCGCAGCTTCATAATAACTTTTCACATGTTCACACCAAGGACTGTAGGGAAGCTTGTCATTCAAAAATCTGTTTACAAATCCATTCAAACCTTCTAAATTTTGATAACCAGCTGGAGTAAAGCATCTGGCAAAATGGTAGTAGGAAACAACAACATCACGAGGATCACGAACAATATAAATCACACGTGCACATTCACCACGTTGAATCTAAAACGTCAAAGTTAGAATAATTACTAATTTAATCAAATCTTATAAAAATTACTATCTGGACATTTTAAATATACACTATGGTTAAACATGTATACAGAACGAAAGATTTCTGGTTAGAAGCGATGGACAAGTGGTTGAACTCTTTCTCTACAACAGAGTCGATCGACATACAAAGAAGTAGGCGTAATTATTATAATAATTACGATTGTGTCGGTGGTTCAGCGGTAAAGCGCTGGCCAGCCACGCCTCACGTGTTCCGGAGTTCAACTGCTGGTCGGTGCATACCGTTACCTCCCTTAGCTGGCTATAGTCCCAATAAAGAGGGGAAGTTTGGCGTGAGGCTAGCAACCCCACTCCGTAAAAACAACACCATAACGACTGAAATTTCAAAACTGAAGCCCTATGTTCCACTCGAAACACAAAGGAATAAAAACAAAAGAAAAAATTACAATAGAACAGCAAATCAAAGTCACTCAAATGCAAGAAAAGATTAGATGTGGTTGACACTGCTAGTGTAAAGTTCCAGGGTAAAGGTGAAGGTAAGTCATGAATGCTTCTGTAACAAAACTATCAGTGTTAAAGAATATCACTGGAATGCCTTAAGATGTTTTAGGTTGGTTCGTGAATGTCGAATGGATAAAGGCTCTTCTTTTAGTGGAAGATGAAAAGGGGAAGTCAATCGATGTGGTTGTGGAGCTGCACTGGTTGAAATGGCTAGGACACATGCTATGCATCATCAGGCACCACCTTCATCTTCGAGCAATATTATTAGATAATGTAGGATCTGGTTGGAGAAGTTAGGGTGTGGTTAACATCTATGAGGACATTGACTGCTGATTTGAGTCACGAAGGTATGTTGGTTGGGGTTGCCGGGACGCTAAGCACCGATGACTGCTAGTGACATGGCCTAAACTTGTTTTGAATGGCGCAGATACAATCACTTTATGAATTCCCAAATCCACTAATTTCGTCACATACTTATCCATTCTCCGGCCCATTTCCGTAATCCGTAGTTCCTCTACATCTGTATGCACATTAGACGTGGCAACTTGAACTGCGCACTCTTTAGCACAGTTCTACATTACAACTCAGTCTCCTTTTTATTCACTTCACGGGCCAAAGATCAAAGATACTTCTTGACGAATTGTTTGACTTGGTTTTGGCAAATAAGTTTATTCGACAAATCGCTCGTTATTGCTGTGGTTGTTAACCACATGTCCATTTTATTTGGGGAAAGGACCTTGTGATTCATTAAACTAGTGGGTAATTCTTTGACATCACAAACAATGAGTGTCGTCTTCAGGGCTCACTGACCATGCTAGCATGCCGCGATGCACCCACAAATCATACAGTGAAAAGTACGGAATTAAAATAATGTAGAAACATCTACTAACATAAAAATTTGAACTGGCTTACAGATAACAAGAAACTAAATTTTTAAAAACAGGGCGTTACAAACCTCTTCAGGTAGCAAATAGAAAGGAAGATGCGTTTTTATCACTCGAGGAGCTGGTGTACGTGCTATAGTGCTTGGTCCAGGCCATATATACTCCAAATATGGAACTCGTTCCTCTAAATTCTTTGAATAGGCTTTAACCCAGTTAAGCTTATTGACAATCAAAAATACTGCCTCCGATAGCCAAGTGGTTCCAGATTTTGGATAGCTAGCAACTATAACATCATTTGGATGCCAGTGACCAGATAGCTTAAGTTTTGCTTCTTCAGCCATTTTCGCTATGTCTTTTGGTAGGACGAAGTATCCAGCTGACTCAGAAATGCTATCTGGTTTACACACTGGAAAGTGGGTAAGAGTGAATCCAGTAAATTCAGGGTCTTTAAATGAATCATCAGCTTCCTGTTTGCTTCTTCCATACTTCACATACCAAAACAGCAAACCAGACCCAGCAACTAGCGGTGACGCTAACAAGAAGCCCAGTTTCATTGTTGTCGGTTTTGTTTTCTGATAAAAAGCATTATGGAGCTTTTGAAGAATACTTGTCATTTCAGTACTGTAATGACTGAAAGTGAGTTATGACACATAACTGTCAAGGTTGAAAAAAAACAATGAATGAGAATCATTAGTAGTAATCCAACCAACTGGCGCGTTTACATAGATCAAGTTAAATTTGAAGCATAAGACTAATGAATACATTCCGGAAGCAAACGACTATTAAATGTACTATCAGGCAGCTACTTCAGTTGACTTATGTAAAGGATAGTATTCCGTATTTTCCAGTATCCTTAGAGCTAATCGACTATCTACCAGATAATAAATGTACCAGCCGAGAATGGAAGGCTACCTTAATTCATTATGATAAACTTCAAAATCAGTTGAGTGAATTTCAGTATAATTCCACTGAGATGCCTTCACCGACAATATGTTTAAGTCCCAAATATCCTTTTAAAAGGACCCAAACACTAATTAATTCAGTTGACAGCTAACTATTTGAGAAATAAATATTTAAGCAACAGACCAGAACAACATTTCGCCCCGTTTTTCAGTCACCACTATTAGTCTACTATTCAGTGTGTTAAATCACCAAAGCACGTATTTCTCGAAGTCACTGAACAAACCAAGGTCCAGCCTACCTACAAGTTAGGTGAAAATCAGAAAAATTCCTAGTGATATTGGATTAATCCACTAGATGTTCAGTTTGTGGTACTTCAAACCAGAAATTATACACGTCTTAATTTTTTTATTAAGACCAAAAGAAACCTAAGAAAGAATTTGATGGTTAGGGCTGTCACAGTTCTAAGAGCCTCTGAAACGACACTCGTCCATCGTTTAAACAATCATGAAAGGACATAAATGTGTTCATCTGTAATGGCTGTATTCCAGTTTCCACTGAAGCATAGTACTATTATATATATCCGATTTTGTTGTTAACAAATGAAGTAAGGCATACGAAAATAAACTTTATGTGATAGATGTTACTGTGCTGTAGTCGCACACAGTATCAACAGTTAATGCTCCAAAATATATTTCGTGCATACTTTTGCTTGCAATTCACGAAGTGTTCCAATAACAAAAGTAAGGAAAGACAGAAACGTTGACACAAGGACTACACGTCAGTTGCTCGACCAGGCCTACACTGACACTGTATTAAAGATAAGTTACCAATGATGGCCAAGTCAATGTGTGTACACGAATCTTGCTGTTCCTGTGTAACTAGTTATAAATAAACAGTCCTTAGAGGAAGTCTTCGTTACGCTCCCGCAGATATGAAACAGTTCGGCTCGGAAGTGGAAGGTGTACACTGCAATTACGGCCAAAATATCTACCTGAGCAACACCTACTGTGTGTTTTGGGGGGGGGGGTTACTTTGCTTCCCAAAACGTGATAGATGGAGTAGGATTCGAACCTTTGGTCTACTGGCTGGAAGTCGAGCACCTGCACCAATTAGCCACACCTCCACGTCCTTTGGATTTACACTAAGCTTATACTGTTTTATTGTTCACTGATATACAGATGAAAATGGAGACAGATCGGAGACACACTGAAATGAAATCTAAGCGACATACGGTGGCAGAACCTTGAATAGAAGCCAAATGAGAAGTCATGAGTTGGACGTCCGATGGTAACATGGGGAAGAGTATATGAGGAGAAAATGAAGGCTTATGGAGCCATTTGGAAGTGATGATAGAGAACCAAGTAAAATGCTGATGTGTCTCTAAATTCTAACGTTCTACACGGAGCCCCGGCAAAAAATAACAATAGTATGGACTATCGTTTAACAGCATACCTTATTACTGTGACTTGTCATCCATGGAACTTACATTTGGCGCACTGTATTTGTTTGTTTGGTTTTTGTAATATTCATACTTCTTCCTCCACGACTGAACACAACTTACTCCTTGAAACCTATACTTTCGTTGATAAAACATTCAATTGTTTAACTTCATTTCATCTTGTTTCTTATTGACTTTACGCTCACCACACAGCTTCATGATAATCGAAAGCGGGGAATTATTCTTAAATCAATCCAACACAGTTTCTGATACAATACAATTTAACTTTACCGGCTACTGTATTCCGACAATAATGGATTTATAACTATACACCCTAAAAGTTATTTAAAACAACTGATCGCACTAACTGTTCCTATTCTGAATGCATTAAGGGGACATTAAAGCTACCTATAAGAATAACTTGTTATAATGAAAACGTCCTAACAATAACCACACTGTATCAGGATATTGTAAAATTTGATGAATTTTGTCTCAAGAATTATCTCTCTGGGATGTGTTCAGTGGTCTCCAGACATTAACAACTTAAATGGAAGATGCGTTAATGGAAGAATAAACACGACACAACCAATGAATATGGCGTAAACATGAGATATGATAGACCTAACAGAAACTTTTTTCAAGGTTTTTATCGCATGCGGTAAGTAGCTTTTACACAGTACTGATGTGCTGGCGAATAAAGTATTTAATGTCTTTAGTCTCACGTTTCTCGCAATACTATTTGAAACAAACATGAGTAAATTAAACTAGTTATGAATAATAAGACTACTGCAGGGAAATATAAATGAAGCGATTTCATTCCTTTTCATTATATCCTAAGGAAAGTAAGTGATTCCGTCAGATTTCACTGACCAGGGAGAGGTTTTAATGCGATCCTATACACTTGAATAAGGTCCAGGTCTAATGTAAAATGGCCCAAATAGAACAAGGCCAGTAGATAATAAACAAATAAAACATTATTTGTAGTTAGGAATATTTTGGGGCTTTACAGAAAATGCTGACATTTCGATGTAATTCCCAAAAATTACTACATCAAACAGGATTGAAACAACTCCAAATTTTGTTGTTTGGGATGCCCAACAGTCATTTGATTTTCGGGGTAAGTTAAACTTTAAGCAGCACTAACTACCAATGGAATGCGATCGCACCAATGACCGTGAAACGCTCACTGAGCAAGTTAGTGAAACCTGGCAAATATTGTTGTCATCATCAATAAAATATCCTCATCGAGGCACCATGCTATTAAATGGGACAACTAGCAAGTTTCAGCTTAGGTTAGGGAAAGACTAAGTTACAGTTTAAGCCAAGGACAAGTTATGTTTAAGTTAACCTAATAAAGGCGACATTAGGGTTGGTTTGAGTTACAATACAGTTAGTTTAGGGATATTTTCACATTAGGGTTAGGTTCAGGAAAGATTATAGTTATTGTTAGGGCTAGAAGACCTAAATAATTACATGCATAGAATGTGGTTAAATTACTCTGTTGACATAAGAACAGAACTTGTGCACTGTGGTATATTATAATTCCATTGTGGGTAAAATTTATTTTGATAAAGCCTCGCAGTGTTATACAGGAGTATTTACTGATGACGTTTCGAGCACAACTAATTACACAGGAAATATTACTGTATTACACTATGAAACTTTATCAAAATAAGTTTTTTATTTTTTTGATTTTTTTTTGATTTACAGCTTGATTCCACACCGTATTTACAGTACAAGTATGGAATTTTCAGCATGGATATCGGTAGCCCAAATTCAGGCCGACCATAGATATCGGGTGTGCGCCGGTAGGGGATCGAACCCCGGACCATGTGCATGGTCGGCGAGAGTCCTAACCACTGTGCCACCTACAATTGAATTATACCGTGTTGATACTACAGATACGCTAACAAGTTTCCAAAGTTTTTATGCATTTTTTTTTGTAAATATATGTATTAATACATTTTTGCGTATGGAATTCCATACACAAAAATGCCTCCTTAAGGAGGTTAGGCAAAGTTCTACAATAGGTCACAAGGTCATTGGAACATTTACAATCTTGGGACTCTATTGTAGAACTTCGCCGGAGGTTATTCGCTGATTTGCAGTAAGTGGTGCTAAAAGTTTAACTTTTCCGATTTTCGAAACGAGTAATCAGTAAGCAAACATATGCATGCAATGTAAATCT